ATATATGGGCTTAGTAAAGCACCTCTTTTATTTCATTTCTTAAGTTGAGTGCAGTCAGTTTATTGGAAACCTTCCAGTTACATGCGCTTACCAAGTTTCTGCTGATTTCTTAGGCTATGGGTGCATTTTGTATGCCTGTGGTTTATATCTTTCTATGGACTTTACCTACTGTATAAGGTGAGTTTTGCATCCTTAATTTCTCTAGTGCTTGGTTAAGAATTTTCTGATGAAATCTTGCAGCATGGTACTGTGGTAGTGTGGATGGATTCTTATGTATATCAATTGACTCTTCGACTTTATATTCAGATATGTTGATGTAAGAGGTGATTTTTTGCATCATTTCATCTCCAGGAATACAGTGAAATTTTGGTTAAACGGATTCAACAATTTCAGAAACTCAAGCAGCGCCCTGATCAGTTCACTGTTTTAGTTCGGCAAATCCCTGTCTGTGATGAACACAGGAGCCGTGGTTGTTGCGTTGAGCACTTCTTCTCTAAACATCATCCATTCAGTTATTATTCTTATCAAATGTTATACGATGGGAGAGAAATTGAAAATCTTCTGGTAAGGATTTAATGGTTAACCCACCCTATGAGTTAGTCTTGTCACCTTCGCATAACCTGCATGATCATGAGCATTTTGCTAAAATATTTTTTTTTTCTAATTCATGCTCAGGTTAAAGTTACTGCGTTATTTTTTCTTATGAGTCAATTACTTGGTTATCAAACCATAATGTTGTGGAAGATAAATAGGCCTGATTTTTTCCTCTTGATAGAGGAAATAGAGGAGTTCTTGATGTGGATAACTGAATGGTTTAACATTTATGAATAAGCTTTCATGTTTTTCTTCTATTCTCCTGTATCCTCAATTTATTTAGTTATCTTTTACCAAGAAAAAAAGGGAATTTGGGAAATGAACTTGTGATAATTGATTGCATTTACGCCATGTTCGGAAAGCTACAATTATTTTAACTAGGAGATTGTGAAAACCTCTTCCAAAACGATGAAAATTGACATCCTAGACAATTTGACTTTGAATTGTTGAGGATATTTATCATTTTGGAATGGATTCACCTTTTTATTTAAAGTATAGATTTCCAAATGAACTTCACAAAAAAGGTTAATTTCTTCCGAATATGACCTTAAGCTTAATAGTAAAGGATGTAGTCCACATGTAAGCATGTGTCCTCCATCTTGTGCTAAAGTTTGATCAACAGAATGGAGTGATAGCCAAAATTGAACTCTAAACTTCTGACTACGAGTACTTCATGAAGTAATTAAATGTGAAAAGTTTCTCCAAAATGTTATACTGATAAGAAAAGACTCAATTCATTGTTATACTTTTAATAGGCGGGATGTACCTATAGAAGACTTCTCAAAAACCATATGTTTTGTTGAAACTTTATGCTGAAGCTATTAAGGAGCTAATATACAACAAATTTTAGAGTGATAAGAAACAAGATCTTAGTGGCTACATTTGGTAGTGATTTGGGTAGGGTAAGCTAGGATAGTGTAAGGTAGCCTAAGGATTTTATTTATGTTAAGGAATAGATCAGTATGGCAATGCAAAGGTAGTTTATTATATGGCTACAATACCTTTTATTTTTAAAGAGTATTTATTATATAAATTTAAAACGTTAACAATTAACAATATTTTGATATTAATATAATAACAATATTAAATTAAAAATTAAATGTTAAGCACGTTATATATTTCAAAATTGTATTTTAAAATAACATTTAATTTAATAACAATTAAAAAAACTTCCTGTGAATTGCAGCCAGAAGACCACAAGTCACCACATTATTGATGTAATTGGCATCCAGGTAAGGCCAGAGATATTCTTTGGCGCTGATTGGTCTGGACGAGAACAGTTTTCGGTTTTTCTATGGTTTGCTCCATGGTGGTCGGGCAAGACTGTAGGTGTTGCTGGTTTCTTTATTTTTTAATATAAATAGTGTGGTTATAAGGATTAAGTATGAAGTAAGTGAAAATTAGAGTTGGTATTTTGGTTATGGATAGCTCTTATTCTTCTCATCAAAGTTGACTAGCACTACTCATCATGGGTAGGGTAGATGCTTCTCGCCAGAGTAGTTTTGGCTGTTAATCACTAGGTAAGTTGAGGCTTGCCATCTTTACCCTACCCTACCCACCTAGAGAAACAACTTAGATTTAAGGTATACACAGGAGACTGGGGCCAACACAGCCTTAAGGTTTATCCAGGGGATAAAAATTGGCCCTAGTTTCTTCCCACAGAAAGAATTAGTGCATAATCTCAATTGATAAGTAATAAAAGTTGGTCTTATTTCGACGACTCTGTTTTGATTTTCAACTGTTTCTAAATTCCTGGTGCTCTTCTGTTCATTTTTCTTTATGGTCATAGGAATATTTTCGAGAAGTCTGTTTATTATGAGGACTTTCTAAGTTAGAATTGCTTTTTGACCATAATATGTGGTGTAGTTTACTTCATGATGTTCTTATAGATCAGCTCTTAGAAATAAAATGAAAATGCATATATCACTCACTGGCTATAATTAAAATGATGACATCAAGAATAATCATTGTTTTCCTTAACAAATTGAACCAATATGGTTATACCATTTTCTTTGAATAGAGAAACTACATTCAAACATCCTGCCAATTCTTGTTTATTTATTCTTTTTATCAACTGCTGAGAGGTATTATTGTATGTAGAACCAAGCACGTGATATTGCAAACAGAATAGAGAATATGAGAGAAAAATCCATGACCAAGAAACATAAAAGGGAACCCTTGCTTTTGGATGGATCACGGCAAGAAGCTGCTAAAGTAGCCATGTATCAAGAAAAGCTTCAAGAACTTTTCCATAAAATTCATCAGTTACAAGAGGAAAATATGCTTCAACAAAAGGTATTCTTTGTATCTATTTGTGAGTGTATATTATATTATACATATTTCCTTCCTGTTTATGGTCAGCAAGTAAGATCCTAGCAGTTCATTTCTTATGGCTTGCTTGCTATGTTTCTTTATGGAATATTGTCCATCAATTTGGTAATGTGAATTTTGTTCCTAAAGAAGTTTGTATAACTATGCAGAATCACACATCACTTTGAGAAGATCCCTCATTTTCTCTCGTATTTTTTTTCTCTTTGTTGGAATTTCTCTGTAACTAGTTTTGGAGTGAGTAGCTCTCTCCACTAGAAAATATGGCAAATGGTAAATTGTTATTGGATGGATAGAACACGATTTTTTAGCTGAAAATTCCATGGAAAAAAGGGGAATGCTTTGAGGTTGTGTTAACTACGTTGCAGGTTTGTCCTGTTACTTGAACTTGCTGCATATGTTGGTACTGAGCTGTATGTCATTCTTTTCTAATTAAGTAGTATTATCCGTTTGTTGGATCCCTGTATATTAATTTTTCAAGATACATATTCTTTTGTTAGGCCCCTTTACAGCGTCATGTCATCCATTTGTGATTTTGTTGGACTAGTAATAAAATTTGTGAAAGTTCTAATAGGAACTTTCAGAACAAGGTAATGGAATTTACCTACCAATTTTTCCTTCTCCAAATCTGCAAGCAAACAAGAAAGACGTCTTCAATCTATAAAGTAGCTCGCATGGATGTCCAGTATATACATTGGGTTGAGAGCTGGTCTCCTACTTCTTTTTTCCTAATATATTTGAACCAATTTCCAACAGTAATCTAGAATTGAGGATATCATGTTGTTTTGTTTTATTTGTAGGAGTTACCTGTTGCTTTAGTAGCATTCAAGTCCCGTTGGGGGACTGCACTTGCTGCGCAAACTCAGCAGCACCCACATCCACTACAATGGATTGTTGAAATGGCTCCTGAACCAAGAGATGTATCATGGAGGAATGTGGCAATTCCACATAGTTTTTTACCTCTTCACAAAATTGGGGTCATTCTTGCAGCATCTCTTCTTACAATTTTCTTTGCTGTCCCAGTCACAGCTGTTCAAGGAATAGCAAAATTTGAGAAGCTAAAGAAATGGTTTCCCCCAGCCATGGCTGTTCAGTTGATGTAAGGACGTGTATCTTGTGTTAGTTTTTCTTTTCTCCGTCAAAAGCAGTAATTTATTTAGTGAGTAATTCTTAGTTATTAAGTATCTTCCCTTGACTTTTATTTTGATATTTGAATTGTATGACAGACCAGGACTGAGGTCTATCGTGACAGGTTACCTTCCAAGTGCCATTCTGAAAGGATTTATGTATATTGTTCCCTTCGCTTTGCTTGCTATGGCCAAAATAGGCGGTTCTATCTCAAAGAGCAAGGAGGAAATTAAGGCGTGCAATATGGTTTTCTATTTTCTAGTGGGAAATGTATTCTTTTTGAGCTTGATATCAGGATCATTACTTGATGAAATTGGAGAATATTTTACTCACCTTGGAGATTTTCCTAGTCATCTTGCTAGTGTGGTGTCCGCCCAAGTAAGATTGATTTGTTTCCGTTATCTTAGATTACATTTGCAATCTTCTTCCATGTCTTACCGAGTTGTATTACAAAAATGAACGGACTACAATTTTCTAGGGTATATACTTGACATGTTCAGGGGATATAGTTGATTCTACATGGCTATTATCTCACAGACATTTTAAATCTAACTATATCATTATTGGCTTTAAAACTCAATAAATTAAATTGGACAATATTTTGATAGTTTATTTATACTTGTGCCAGGCAGATTTCTTCATGACATACATCTTGACAGATGGGCTATCAGGATTTTCTCTGGAGATCTTACAGTTGGGGCTTCTTACATGGGATGTTATAAAGTCATGTACATATGGCCGAGGGAAGGAGAAAAATCCTTATCTTTATTCTTTTCCCTACTTTAGGGTTATTCCCACAGTCTCCCTGTCAATACTGATTGGCATGGTGTATGCAGTCATTGCTCCATTGTTGCTTCCGTTCCTTATTGGCTACTTCTGCCTTGGCTATGTCGTTTACATCAATCAGGTTCGTTTCTCTACTGTGTTGTGCATCAATAATATTTAATATCTTCAACATAACTGATTGGTTTATGGTTATTGGTTCTGAGGGTATTTGTATGGACTTTTCTTGTGATTGAAGATGCTTAACGCACATTTTAGTTGGAAAATAAGCTCTAAGGTACTTGGGTCACTTCAAAGTGCTTAAAGTTTAGAGTTTTTAGCCTCCAACAAAAGACTAGTAAGACCAGTTTTGTCAATAGCTTTAAATGGAAGATTGATTTTCTACCAAAATATTCTTTATCAGAACAAAATATTACACTTAAATAACTTTATCTAAAAAATAATTAATTACAGTCTTTTTAGATATTTTACTAAATTTCTAGCTTAAAGTTCTAATTTTATCAAAAACTCCGACAACTTATCAAAGTTCAAAAGTTAGAAGGAAAACTCAAGTGTCCAAATAGCTTTCCTGCTTAAAGTATTATGAATTTAAGGGTCATTGGAGCTAAAAGCCTTATGAACTAAAGCACAAATAATAAGCCTACCCGAACACCCACCTTGTTTGGAATGAATAAATAACAAAACTTTATTTTGTTTGCAAATAATAAATCAATCTATGGAGCACCTAGCAGAAACCGAGAAAAGGAAAGTTTTGAACTTTTCTGACTTCTCTTATGTAGTTCTTAATCTCTTTTAGTTTTTTTCTCCTCTGCATATATATTGAAGTGAAGAGGAAGAGTGACTGGAAAAAAAAAGCAGTTGCTTAGAGACAGGAGAGAGAGGAACAGATTTAGGATTTAATTAGTTATATGTATATAATATATATACATACTGCGAAGACTTTGAAAACATTTGCAGGGGAAGAAAATTAACTCCTGAACACACACACATGAAAGTTATTCTTTTAATGATTTTTACATATATATATTATATTTTAATAAAAAATATATATATATATTTAGAATATGTCACTTATAATATATGTAATTATATATATGCATTGTGGGTCAGTGACGGGGAACCTGTGAATCCATTATGGTTCAAAAGAATAGTAAAATATTAAACCCGTCTCAAACCGTTTTCTGCACCAAAGCTCGGGCACGGTCAGATTTGCTCATATCTGTCCAAACCCGTCGTGTTATCATCCCCAAAATAGGAACTATAACAAGATGTCATTTACATTGAGGTGAAATAGTAAGTTTTCATGCTTCATCCTGATACAAAACTTTCATTAGGTAATACCTGTTAGAAGCTCTTGGGTTTTTCTCTCTCTTAGCTCTCTTCTCTTGACCTTCTTGTCTTATGAAATGAATGAACAAGCAATTTCCTATATTAACCTTCTCGTCTTATGACCAATATGTTCGACAATTATATTTCATTCAAATGATCGTGATTTCTTTTGTAATGTTATGCAGATTCAAGACGTATATGAAACTAGTTATGAGACATGCGGTCGATATTGGCCATTAATTCATCACTATACCTTTGTTTCAATCATTCTCATGCAAATTATTATGATTGGTCTCTTTGGACTGAAATCGAAGCCAGCTGCTTCTATAGCCACAATACCGCTCTTAATAATCACCATACTGTTCAATGAATACTGCAAGATTCGTTTCCTTCCTACTTTTCGCCATTTTCCTTTACAGGTACAATTTGCATTTTCGTTTCTTCAATGCATGTATGTTTTACGTTTGATTATTTTTGTTAACAAAGTGCATGGACAATCGCGGTATCTCGAACAAATGTGAAATTTTGTTCCACAGACTGCTGTTGAAATGGATGAAGCTGATGAAGAGCTGGAATCCAACTATAGAAATGCATTGAGTGCATATTGTCAACCTTGTTTATTGCGTGGGAACAGCTTTATCTCATCTGAGCCAACCCTCATCCAGCCATTAATTTCCTCAGTGTGATTTTGTTAAGAACTCGTCCTGAATTCTCTTCTCCATTACTCTAAAATTTTTTCTACTTTTTTTCTTTTTTCTTTTTCAAAGCAGGTATATTATATGGCTTACATTTTTTTGAATGTGAATTAAGATCAGTTTACAAAAATCTCACTTGATAGTAAATGTTAAATTACACTACAATGAATCTCACATTGTAAAATGATTGATTGGATAATTTGTTGAAGATTTATGTTCTCATTCTGGTCAGCTTATGGGTGAAGTGGTGTTAAAATATAATTAATTAACTAATTAGATGCCATAAGCAGGATTACTAACCCATAGTATGTTCTTAAAATTTATTGAAAATTTGATTATCATTCTCTTCATGGACTCTTAAACTAACTTTCTAACTTTTCATCATTAAGATAAATTAAATTTCATTAACTCTGTAAACCTAGCTTTCCCACCACCTCCATTTGTAATAAATTAAATTGTTGAAAGATTTGAATAAAATTCTTAATTCTAATTTAAATTAATTTCTCAATGAAAGTTAGAATTCAATCAAAATTTCGATATTCAATACAATCTATTTTCATATAAATTAAAATGTGATTGTACTTATGAGATGATTTCAACTGTCTACGTCTGATACGATGCAATCCCACATCGCATAGTAGATAGATGCAATACAAGCCCCTGTATACAAATACATTGAGTCAACATCTGATAAATTCACGGAGCTGTGCGGTGAGAACAAAGCGAACTATTCTTTCGCCTTTTACTAAAGAATACCGTGTTCGCGCCGCTATTAAGCAGCATACGCCAATTTTTGGAGGGGCTCGCTCTGGGAGTGTTGCCTCTTATCAATTAAAGTTAAATATGAGCTTTGACTCTCCTGCCAGTCGTGGAGAGCCATTCTCTCTCTCTCACGCTTCAGCAGTCTTTATCTGATGTGGGATATGACATGCAATTTATAACTTAAAATTTGAACTATTTTTAGTGCAAATGGTTCAGTGAGAACTAAATTTAGCTAACTTCAGTAAGAAGTTCATGGCTTCTTCAGAATCTGAAATTGCCAGGGTAAGAGAGAAGAATTAATTGTTTGTTTATGTTTACATTGTCATTAACAACTAATAAACCAACTAGTTAACAACAAATCAATCAGTTTAACAAATAATTATTTATCATGTTTAGAGTTTTGAGTAAGGTTATATAATTAGAACTGTCAGGCTTCGCTCTATATCCATTAACAAACCCTAATTTGCTCTTCCATCAATATTGCAATTGTCATCACTTTAGCTCTAAAAGGTATAGTTTTGTTCGGTAAGCCCTTGAGGCACCGGTATGATACTGGGATTATCTAAATGGTGCAAGAAGAAATTGTTGGCTGGATCATTGAGGACACATTTGCCTGCCATTGTTTGGGAAAAAAAGGAGATTCAGGAAACAAGGTAAAGGTTAAATGATGATCGATAACCAGAGTTATTTTAACTGGAGTTCTTCCTACTCATTTGTTGGGAAGTGAAATTAGCAGAGAGTTAAACATTTACTCTCGAAGAAAAAACAAAAATCTTGTGGCATAAAGGAAATCAGTAGAAGGATCTCCATGCTCTCTCTTTGGGAAAATAACTAAAAAGAATGAAACAAATAATGAAAAGACAAAAGAAGTGATCAAGAAGCTTGCTGAGATTTCAAAATCGCTCTGATACTATATTACTGGGTCAAAAAGCTTGATTCCCATTAATTGAATGTTAATCTATACATAATATGTATTTACATATACATCACCACTGATAACTAACTAATCAAGTAATTAACAACAACAAATCAACCAATTTAACAAATAATTTGTAAGTACCTAATAATTAATCTAACTAATAGAAAAGCCATGAATATGATTAGACTAGAGAGTTTCACAAATAAAAGCATACTTTCCATGACTTTTTAGCTAAAGATTATAAATTACAATATGCGTTTTAGGTAATGGCATATTATCCCACATCAGATGAATAGACGAATGAGTCACCGCGTGTCATCTACTAGAGGAGAGACGAAGGGATTCTCAAGTATCTTTGCGCTTGGGGCAATGACGCAGCTAGTGAGGTTCTAACCGAGGCGCGTCTATTGCTGGTTGAAAACTATTTCCAAACCCCCTCGAAGGCCTGGGTTTACCCTAGGCCTTCGAGAATTTCTGGAAGGGCTCCCTCCGGGGTAAAGCCCTACAATTTCTTAGTTCAAATTTCTTGTGACTATATGCAGTCGGACTCTTTATCAGCTAAAGTATTTGGATTCAAGCGTCGAAAGATTTGGAAAATTTGTAATTCTCGAAGGAATAGACTTTGGACAAATCATAGATTGGGACGGTATTTTTACCTGTGGGTATAAGAAAATTGGACAAGACTCTTTAGGGATTAAGAGAATTTTAATTAATTTTGGTAAATTTTTCAATGATATATCAAAAGAATGTTTTAATAAAAAATAACTGGTCATGATGAATTCCGATATCAAAAATAAGTAAGACACGACTAGTTCATCTTTTATAGATAAGGAGGTATCGGACTTGGCCTTTACGGATATATTTGATTTTTAGAACGACTACAATCCCACATAGAGAGCAGACATGGATTGAATAGAATGGGTTCTACAATTAATATGGGCCTCAAATGAGATGTGAAAATTAAAAGGGTCGGTTGGCTAAATATGCCACGCTCGCTTCATACTGGGTGAGTGCTGTATGGCTATCAAGACATATGGCCGACATAATTTGTGTAACCTGAAAGGGTTGGCTCGCCCGGCCGACCCTACAACCTTAATCTAATTTTAATCAACTAGCTAAATTAACGAGGAAAATTTTTAAATTTAGTACCACGGAAATAGAACGTAATTTCTAGACTGTTTTTTATTGTAACTTGTAGGTACGTGATCTAATAAAAAACAAATTAACCTCTAAATTTCAAAATCAGCGTCGTAGGTTTTGGCGAATCACATATCCAAGCCGAGTCCTGACAGACCGGGAGTCAAGATTGTCCAGCAGCCGTATGTTCACTTCATCAGGTATGGACGTCTGATGGAGAAGAGGTTGTCGGCGTCGAGCGGTACCCTCATTTTGTTTGTATCCAAGAGGGATAGTTCTACTTCAGTACCTGGGTTTTTGAAGTCCGTATCTATTCACTGCCGGGGATAGTGTGGAATTAAAAGTGTTCAGAGATAACCCATAAGGAAAACAGCAGTATGGTTCGGGTTTCTGGTTTCTCTTTAGGCACTAAATTCACAAAGCTCTGGAGCTTTCCGCATCAGGGCAATGTTATCTTTCTTTTTTTACTGTCCACAAGTCCAATACTTCCAATATCCCCCTTTTTTCTTCTCCCTGGATGCTTCAATTCACTTCTGTTCGTCTCTTTTTCACCCATGGTTGTAGTTTGGGTCTAAAATTTATAAAGGACCAAATAAACGCCACACGTTTGATAGGGTAAAACAAGTGCTTCAACTCGGAGATCTCGCACGCGTGTGCCAGGTTCGCCGGCAGCTGGTGTCTCTGCCACAGTGGGAGCCATGTGTTCTACTTCTCGCAGGATCAAAGCAGAGAGAGTTATCCATTTTTGGCTCTATGCATATGCGTCGTTGCTGCAAAATCTAGGCACTTGATCCGGTAATGGCAATTCGTGATCTGGAGTATATTCTTCTTTTGCAAGATCTTTTTGTCTAACTCTTTTGCTGGCATTCTCGGGACAAGCACCAGTATAAGATTCTAGAAACGTGGTTTTGTCTGCATGTTTGTTTTGCTGGTGTCTTCTTCCAATTTGGGATGCTGCTTTTCTGATCAGCTCCAATAAGTAGTGGAGGTGCAGATAATCAAATAGCAAAAGGGTTGCAATTTCCTCGTTGGGAGAGGGAAAAAACGAAAGATAGGGAATATAAAACTAGTACTTCTAAGTACTAGGGTAAACTGAGCATCTCAATTGATTTGAACATTTTTGTTCGTCAACCCTCGTTAACGAGACATTGGATGTCAGCTTCAATGCACAAGGTCAGGACCCTAATGCTGAGCCCAGTGTATAAATCAAGTGCTTGCCAAGGTCTTGGCTTTCCTCATTCCATTTTCCAAGCCATCTGTCCACCCACGGTCTGCGCTTTCCTCCCCCTGCTTAAGCCAAAACCTTGGCCTATTGAAGAATCATTAGGAAACTTTATGCTCTGTGCAATCCTTGTCAATTCATGGGCATGTTTTCTGTCGTAATTCACAAGATCAATCGGCCGTCAATGTAAATAGATGATGGCGGCGTGGAACCCCTTAAAATCAGAAAACGTTTGCAAGTAAAAATTGTAGGGCTTTACCCCTCAGGGAGCCCTTCCAGAAATTCTCGAAGGCCTAGGGTAAAACCCAGACCAAAGAGGGGGTTTGGAAATAGTTTTCAACCAGCAATAGACGCGCCTCGGTTAGAACCTCACTAGCTGCGTCATTGCCCCAAGCGCAAAGATACCGTTAACTGAATTCGTCTCCCTTAACGTAAATATGCTAGGCGAGTCGTTTCTTCCGCCCTTTCGGTGTGGGATTATGTTCTTGTTACTACCGCATTCTGCAAAAAACACGGCGGCATCAGCTAAAATCCCTTATTACCAATTATTTTTATTGAGACATGGAAAAAAGCGTGCAGTACATTTAACTTGACTACATTTAGTTTTATTATCATATGATTTTAAATAGGACGGTAAGAAACAGAAATATTGAGTCTAAATAAAATGTGCATCATAGAGGGCTTTAAGCACAGAGAGCATTAAACCCTGAAGAAATTCTTGTAGAAGATTTGAACTAAATTTGATGGAGGCTATACTCAGCAAGAGTAAGCCCCTCCAAAAATTAACGTATGCTGCTTAAAAACGGCGCGTACACGGTATTCTTTAGTAAAAGGCGAAAGAATAGTTCGCACTGTACTCACCGCACAGCTTCGTGAGTTCAATCAAATACGATTCAATCTATTTTGTATGCAGGGGCTTGTATAAAGTTCTGTCTCTACCTGATGTGGGAGTGCATGTTGCAATACTCGCATATTTTTGTAAAATTATTCTAAATATGTTAAAAGCGTTGAATCATTAGATTAGAATAGCCTTTTAATTTACGACAATGTAAATTGTATTATATGATATTTTAAAAAAAATCTAAATTTCTCTTATTATTTACTTTAAAAACATTTCTAAAAACTGTGTCAATATATTTTTTCCGTTGTGAAAAAAACAGACCTGATAAATTTTTTGTTCTATAAGAAAACTAAAAAAAAAACTACCCAAAAAATTGCATGTCATTTTTGAGTTCTTTTAAATAAAAGCTTAAAATCATAAACTCATAAAATTAATAGTAACAATAAATATATATTGCACAAAAATAGATTTTAAATATTATGCATTCAAATTTCAAAATATGAAAATAAAATTAATGTAATAATTACATAAAATATACAGAGAATTTTAAATATCATTTACTCAAATTTCGTAATACAAAAGAAATTAATATGAAAATATAACACCGTCATTTTGTGGACACACACACACACACACAATAGTAGTAGATGATCAAACGATTAAAATTGGAATTGACCCATCTACGGAATAGAAAACGTTTACCACTAAAATTGTAGGGCTTTACCCCGGAGGGAGCCCTTCCAGAAATTCTCCGAGGCCTAGGGCGAACCCAGGCCTAAGAGGGGGTTTGGAAATAGTTTTCAACCAGCAATTGACGCGCCTCGGTTAGAACCTCACTAGCTGCGTCATTGCCCCAAGCGCAAAGATATCGATAACTCCTTCCGTCTCCTTTCTTATAACACGCTAGGCGAATCATTTCCTTTATCCTTCCGGTGTGGGATTTAACTCTTATTTGCATTCATCTCAACTCGCATTACGTATCGCAATGCCGGTAATTGACGCATGGAAAGCATGCACTATGTAGAACTAATGCGTTTATATTATAATTCTTTCAGCTTACTATTAATTCAGTTGAATCATATGATTTGAAAGGACATTCAGATAAATACATAACAGAGAGATTCAGAGGATCAATGAAATGGACCAGATACAGGCTCAGGAAAAAAACACTAACCCCATACACTCCAATGAAGGAGAGAAATATTTAACTCATTTTATAGAGACCACTCTAGCAAGAGTAGCCTCTCCAAAAATTAACGTATGCTGCTTGAAAGCGGCGCGCACACGGTATTCTTTAGTAAAAGGCGAAAGAATAGTTCGCTCTGTGATCACCGCACAGCTCCGTGATTTTCAGCGACGATGATTCAATGCGATTTGTATGCAGGGGCTTGTATTGGGTTTACTGTCTACCCGATGTGGGACGGCACGTCGGGATGTTCACACATCTCTATACAGATACAGATCGTTATTTTAAATATTTTAAAGGGTTGAATCATTTAATTTTATTTTATTGTTTAATTTATAAAATTATTTTTACGAACTGTATTGGTTTTTTTTTTTTTTTTTTTTTTTTCCATCAGTATTATGCCTGGAAAAAAACATGCCACCTGTTAAATTCTTTTTTTTTATAAGAAAATTTTAAAAGAAACACACAGCATCTCATTTCTTTAATTTTTTTTCAAATAAAAGCTAGAAATAATAGGTTAGGTTTTATTAATAATAAATATATATTACTTGATGATAAAATTTTAGATATTATTTATTAAAATTTAAACTATAAAAATAAAACTAATTTAATAATTATAATTACATATATTATATAAAAATAAAATTAATATGAAATATCTATTTAAATTTTTAAAATAGAAAAAACAAATTAAAATTCAAGAGAAATAAATTACACTACTTTATATTGACTAATATATACTGTACCACTCTAAATAAAAATATAAAATATAGACAATTGGTATCGTATATCAATATGTACTACCAAATATAATTTTCTTTTAATTTCAGTTAAAGAAATGAATTTTAAAAATTAAAATCAAAATTTACAAATTTAATTTTGTATGTGGTAAGGCATGACATCACATGACTCCTAATTTCCATTAAGTTTGACTACAATTTATTTATTTATTTATTTATTTATTTATTCTAAAGCATTACATCTAAAGAAGATCAGAAGAATCCAATATAATAAAAATAAATCACCAAGCAACAAGTCTGATGGTGCCTGGTAGGTTCTTAATAAAATCTTTGACGAACAAAGAAGAACCAAACCATAAAAGTAATTGGTCAGAAGAAGAAAAGAAAATTAGATTACAAATCCACCATTAACCCTAATAACCTGACCATTAATCCATTCCCCAGCATCAGTAGCCAAAAATCCCACAATCCCAGACACATCTTTGGGCTCACCAAGCCTGCCTAAAGGGCAAGCATCCACTAATCTCTTCACAGTTTCTTCACTTTTACCTGCAAAGAACAAATCTGTTGCTGTAGGCCCTGGTGCAACACAGTTAGCAGTGATTCCTGTACCCTTTAGCTCCTTAGCAACAATCTTGGTCATCGTCTCCACGGCTGCTTTTGAAGCTGTATATGCTGCATATCCAGGCATGAGTGCCCCAACTGTTGAGGTTGAGATCATTATGATTCTTCCACCACCTCCTCTTACCAATCTATTAGCTGCTTCTTTGCAACAAAGGAAGGCTCCTCTTGTGTTCACATTGAAAATCATGTCCCAATCTTGTACTGTTGTGTTGGCTAGAGTTGGATACTTTGGATCCATTGTTCCTGCACTGTTTACCAGGATATGGACTTTTGAGTTAAATTCTTGTTCGGTTTTGTCAAAGAGGAGCTTCACCTGATCTGGGTCCGAAACATCAGCTCTGATGGCAACTGCAGAAGCTGGAGCTGAGGAGGTGTTAAGTTCTGATGCTAGGAGATCAGCTTGGGTTGAATTTGATGCATAGTTGATCGCAACTTTTACTCCAAGGGAGTGGAGGTGAATAGCAATGGCACGACCTATGCCACGTGAAGCACCCGTCACTATTGCTACCCGGTCCTTTAACGGAAGGGAAGAGGAGGGTCTTTCCATGTTTGTTTCCCAGAAATGATGAAGATCTAATGAGTTCTGGAGACAGACAAGTGGTTTATTTATAACTCAAAAGAGTTTTTTCTACTTCTCGAGTTATTTTATTCAATCCACAAAGCATCACGATGCCAAAATTGCCCTGTATTTTCCTACATATGAAACAAGATAAGGTCAGTTCGGTCATAATACTAAATGAATGGACCAAAGGAAAAGTTGAATGCCATGTTCCAAAGTCTCTTTTTCTGATGTCAGCAATGACATAAATGTCTGAATACTAAATAATATACAACAATGAGGCATTGCCTTAATTCTTCCTAACCATATGAGTAGGTAAGGTCCCTATTACGGTTTACTTCCATAGCATGGGATTGCAATAAATTCAAAATTTTATGCAATTTATTTGTAAATTTAAACTTATTTCAATTAGAATAATTTATAAATTGTATTAGAATGACAAAAAAAATCATCCGAAATTTGTTACCTCAATTCATTCTTTCTTTTAAGTGTGGCTAAGCATTCTATGCGTCTCCATGTGCATGCTTGTTGGATCCATCCATCCCTGTGTGGAAAGAGAAGAGAAGTAAAGAGAACCAGAGGCCTTACAGCCATGATGATCACTTCCCTGCTTCCCTGGATCAGACTCAACTCATGTCAGCAACATTAAGGTTTTTACTACTACTGCCAACCCAAAAAGAAAAGCAAAAGAAGAGAAGGAAACAATTTGAGAAGATTCAGGATATTCAGTGATGGATCCAATAAACGCAGTATCAACTCGAAAATAAACTACAGAGATCATTAATCAAAATGTCCCAATCACCAAAGAAAACATCATGAATCAAGTGATCGAGTCCTTACCACATTATTCAGAGATATTTTTCTGGGCAAGGAGGCTTTCATCTTTGATACTCCGCTCCAAATTTCCTTCAATATTTCTTCCTGCAGACTTAACTTACCAGTAGTCTCTACATGAACAAATACCACCTTCAAAATGATGAAAGCGGTATGTATCCCTTACTACAATAGCTCGATTTGATATTTTTGACACAAACTTAATCCAGTTATGACAGTCATTACATACGCGGAGATTCTTAATTACACGTATAGGCATTCCTCTAGACAAGCTAAGGAGTCCAAAAGCAATAGCTAATTTCTCACTGTGTGTGGATATAATCGGGTCTTTTTGTCCTTGCTCTACTTCATTAGAAAGGCTAGAATAATCCTGCACATAACCAATTTCAGCTGCCCGTTTATTCAGATCCCCTATGTACTCATATATCTTATCTGCTAATGGATGGAGCTGATCACCAACAAAGAATGCATGAACTGAGTTCTTAACCTCAATCCAGCTACGACCAGCTTCTTTCTTTACACCCCTCTCTTTCATCATTTGCCTCGTTCGATTCCTAGCATCCCAATTTCCAGTCACAGCATATATATTTGATAGAAGAACATAAGTTGCCGAGTCTTCAGGTTCTAATCCTAGAAGATGACTAGCAGCATATTCTCCAATTTTCATATTCTTATTAATTATACAAGCACTTAACAAGGTCCTCCAAACATTAGCATCTGGTTCTACTGGCATTTCCTCTATAAATTTTTTTGCACGGGTCAAAAGACCAGCCCTACCTAACAGATCCACAACACAAACGTAATGGTTAGGCTCAGGTACCAAGCCATGCTCTTTGGTCATGGATGCAAAGTAGCTAAGTCCCTTGTTCACAAAACCTGCATGGCTACAAGCAGATAAAACTCCCACAAAAGTAACATGGTTTGGAGTAACATCAAGTTGCTTCATCTTTTCAAAAAGATCAAGTGCTTCAACGCCAAACCCATGTTGAGAATAGCCTGTTATCATGGCATTCCAAGAAACTTGATTTTTCCCAGGCATTTCAAAGAACTGTCTTTTTGCATCAGCAATACCACCACATTTTGAATACAATGTGATCAAAGCATTAGAAGCTTCGATTTCTAGATCACATCCCCTTTTAATGACCATGGCATGGATCTGCTTCCCTTGTTTAATATCTGCTATATTAGCAGCAGCACTAATTGTGGAGCAAAATGTAAATAAATTAGCTTCTATACCAGCTTTGTTCATTTTAGCAAAGGTCTGCAATGCTTCTTCACAGTATCCACCTTGTGCAAGTCCTGATATTAGTGAATTCCATGATATATTGTCTTTAGCTTCAATTTTCTCAAATGCTAGGTATGCTTCATGTTTTTTACCACATCTAGAATAAAGACTAACAAGTGAATTTCCAATTGAAGGATCGTTTGAGTAACCAGCAACACATGATTGAGCATGAAGTTGTTGTCCCTGATTGAAGGCCTGAAGACCAGCACATGCACTGATTGCACTTGAAAATCCTATGTTGTCACATTGGATCCCTCGGCTAAGCATTTCTCCAAAAAGCTTAAGGGCCTCAGCAAACAAATCATGCTGTGTATACCCTGCAATCATAGCTGTCCAAGATACTATATCTTCCTCTCCAAGTCTTCTGAGAATTCCATAGGCAGTATCTAGTTGGCCAAGCTTGGCATACATACCTATGAGCACACTACAGACATAAACATTAAACTGAAACCCGGTTTTTATAGCTTGACTATGGATCTGCTTACCCAACTCAAGAGCTCCCAAAGAAGTGCAAGTTCTCAAAATACTAGGATAGGTAAACTGATTTGGGATAACACCTTCAACCAGCATCTGTCTGAAAATCCTAAATGACTTGTCCAGATTTTCCAACTGCCCATAAGCAACTAGCATCACATTCCATAAAACCACATTTCCAGTTTCTGTCGTAAGGAAGAACTCATGAGCGGTTTCTATTTCAAAGCATTTCACATACAGATCAAGAAGAGAACCTTCAATAATAATGTCTGAAGACATTCCCAATTTAATTACAAAAGAATGGAGTTGCTGCCCCTTAATAAGAGCTCCAATTGATGCGCAGGCACTCAAGAGACATGCAACCGTGATACAATCTGGTTTCAAGCTGTCAAGCTGCATTTCCTCAAACAACTTCATAGCTCTATTACCATATCCGTGTTGAGCTAGCCCAGAGATGAGTGAATTATAAGTAACTGAATCTTTTTCCCACATGTTGCAAAATATTTGTTCAGCTGATATTAAATTCCCCAAGCGGGAGTAGAATGTAACAAGTGCATTGCACACATATGTTTCAGAAGAAAATCCAAACTTAAAAACAAGGCCATGAATCTGGTCACCCACATCAAAGGACTCTATTTTGGTGCAAGCACTTAAAACACTCGAGAAAGTATATGGAGTAGGTAAAATTCCCGATGCATGCATATCACAGAATAGGCGAATAGCATCTTCCTCAAATCCGTTCTGAGAAAGACCAGAAATCATGGCCACCCAAGAAACTTTATCCTTGAGATATAATTTGTCAAAAACCTTCCTGGCAGAAATTATATATCCATTTTTGGAGTATAAATCAATTAAGGGGTTGCATATAAGTGTGCTAGCACCAAAACCATGGCGTATAATTCTACCATGAATCTGCTCAACAAAGTCAAATGCAACAAGACTCCTTAAAACGGCCGCGAAAGTACTCTCGTTGGGATTCACATTGTTCTCGACCACCATCCGAGAAAACAAATCCAACACCTTACCAGTCAATTTCTTTGCAAGAAACGCAGCAATCATCTTATTCCATGAAAACACATTTCTAGTTGGCATATCATCGAAAACCTTGAGTGCACCATCTAAGTCACCTAAAGCAAGATAAAAATCAATCAATTTATCGCATAGAGAATATTCTCTGTCGAAACCCAACTTCAAAATCTTCCCATGGAGCCTGTTGCCATCTTCCAATGAACATCCTTCTAAGAGCAAAAGAAAAGTCTGATAATTCCCACGAATTCCACGCTCCTCCATGAAATTTAAAAAGTCAATTCCTTTTGGATAGCCTTCATTTTCTTGGCCAGATAAGTCTTCAAACGAGCGACAAGTTGCCGTCGTAGCAAAACAAGCTAATCTCAATCTACCCCAATCTCCACAAAAACACTGCAATGAATCCCAAGAAAATAATTAAAGAATTATAACCATAGAAACATATATTCACGCAAAAGACATACTATACTTGGGAGTTTAATCATCGAACAGATAATCCAGCATTACCCTTTGAAATTTCTGGGCGTTTTTAATATTAATTTCGGCGTTGAATTTACTCGTCAATCGACTATATTTCAAAAATGAAAACGACCCACAACGAGAAACTGTGTAAGAAACCATGGATTCTAGGATTTGAAGAAACATTCAAGTGTAAAGAGAAACAGAGAGGTCTTCATATCATGAACTTGGACTGCAAGCTAACATCCTTCATGTAAGCATTCGAGTCTTTCCAACATTAGTTAAATTGGCGGCCAGCTCCGTCATTAAAAAAATGGCGGCCTGCTCTGTGAAATAGCAATAACTTCCTCTGGAAAGAAAATTAAAGATATAGTTAATTTTTACTTCATGTATCCTTATCAACCTTACTTTGTTTATGTGGTGCCGAAGATCCATGATTCTGTGAATTTAACAGACGATGGAATTTGTAATATATCCTGCGTATCGTCATTTCTCGTGATGCCACTAGGCGAGTCGTTTCTTTTATCCTCTCGATGTAGGATTTTACTCTTACTCGTATATGACGTTTTATCTTCTTTGAATTGGGTGCCATCAGCTCAACTTGCATGCTAATTACCAATTATGTTGATTGAGACATGGAGAGCGTGCAGCAATTTACCAAATCCACGACCTCCTTAAATGAATGTTAGATAGCTTATTTTAACTAATTTGATAAGAGGCTTTACTCGAACGAGCAGCCCCTCCAAAAATCAGTGTATGCTGCTTAGAAACGGCAAGCACACGGTATTCTTTAGTAAAAGGCGAAAGAATAATTCGCTCTGTGCTCACCGTACAACTGCACAGATTTAGGCGAGGATGATGTAATGCAATTTGTTTGCGGGGGCATCTACTGAGTTTATTGCGTATCCGATGTGGGAGAATATAGATTTTCAAGACTTAAATTGTCTTATAACAACCTTCTTATTTAATTTAAGTTGTATTTGGATGTTCAAAAACACACATTTTATTTTATTATCTACTTCGAAAAAGCAAATGTATTTATTTGATCATAAAATAGAATTGGTAACCGAAAACCTCACGATCCAAATGAAGAGCACGAAAATTAAGAAATTGAACTATTTTGTCAGAGACCACTCTAGTAAGAGTAGCCTCTCCAAAAATTAACGTATGCTGCTTAAAAGCGGCGCGCACACGGTATTCTTTAGTAAAAGGCGAAAGAATAGTTCGCTTTGTACTCACCGCACAGCTCCGTGAGTTTTTGCGGCGGTGGTTCAATGCAACTTGTATGCAGGGGCTTGTATTGCGTTTACGGTCTACCCGATGTGGGACAGCATGTCGCGATGCTCACATATCTCTAAACAGATATAGATCGTTATTTTAAATATTTTTAACGGGTTGAATCATTTTATAATTAGAACAGCCTTTTAAATGTACGTCAAATTTAATTGTATTTCGATATTTAAAAAATTTATGCTAATTTATTTTATTGTTTAATTTATTGTATTTTTTTCCATCAGTATTATACACCATGGATCAAGTGATTGAGTCCTTGCCGCATTCTTAAGAGAGACTTTTCTGAGCTGAGATTGTACATTATAACAAAAAAAATTAAAATATAGTTACTAATATATAATAATATCTACTAATTATATATATTAATTTAAATATATATATATATACATACACGCATGAATAATTAGTCAAGTTCAAATAAGTTTTGAAATATTAAACATGAAATTTCTTATATTTCTTGTCAACTCGAACTTGACACGACTAGAACATACATTTAAACAAAAAAATCATATCGAATTGTATTTAGTCAAATAATATTAAATAGGTTCGAATTTAAAATACATTTCTTACCTAAGTTTTTAATTATAATTGAAGTAATTTTTTATTGGTGCAACGAGTTATAGAGCATCGGGCCCCTTTGTCTTTTTCCTTCTCGACTTTTTCTTCTTTTTTCTTCTTCCTTCGAGTCAATGAAAAACTTTTATTCACTCTCAACCTCGATTGGAGCTCGTTTTTTACGCATGCTTCTTCCAAGTCATTGCATAAGATCTTCATTTTCTCCGTTTTTAGCTTTTTCTTCTTTACGACATCATATAGATCTTTCCCCTCATTTTTTGTTTCTTTACGTCTTTGTTTATTGAGCCAAATACTTTTGTTTCTTTTTTTCAGATGATTTTTTCATTCATCTTTAATCTTCTTTATTGTTTTTGTAGCCAGAAGAATAAATGTAAAAAAAAAAAATTCAAAATAATTCATTTGACATATGTAGCTTAGGTTGTATTTAACTTTTTTACTTGAGTCAATTCCTTTATTTGTTAATACTGAACTTACTTATTAGATTAATATCAATCTAACAAATAATAATTTTTTAATAAATTTTGACATAATTAATGACTTAAATTTTTTCTTATAGAATAAAAATTTCATTGATTATTTGATATAATTATTATGTTTAGTGTGCGATTCGTTGATTTTTTTCTTTTTATTTTTATCATTAGAATTAAAAAAAATAAATTGAACTATAATTATATTGTGAACTAATAGTTATAGCAAATACGAATAAGTAACAATACACATTATGTACATCTAAAGAATGAGTCAAGATATAATATCATTGTAGTAACTAAATTTTTTTTCACAAAAAAAAAAAGAAACTTAATTATAAGTTATGAAGCAAAATAGAAAAGTATGCAGAAAAATAAAAGTACGAGAGAAAGAGAAAAAAAATACAAATATTAAAGATATATGATTTCAATATGTAAGGTCTATGAGATCATCTCCTAAACGACAATGTAATAAATTGTCAATATAGATTCATGTATAATTATAAATCTTCAGTTATTTTTTATATCTAATCTATTCTTTTTATTTTTTTATTATTAAAAGAAAAATAAAATAAAATATAGTATAATAATATTATTTATATTTATATTAATACTAATATTACTTATATAATAATAGTAATAATAATAATAACGACATTCTTTGCAATTATGAAACATTTTAGTTTTTATAATTATTGTGTTTCCAAATTTCATCATCATTATTGTTATTATATTCATTACTTATATATGTATTTTTTTTATTTTTTATTTTATTTATTGATATAAAAAAATTAAAATATGATATACTAAAAATTAAAATAAATCATATATAAAAAAATACGATATTAAAAAATTTTTAAAATGGGGCTCACAATATTAGGAGAGTCCTTTATCGACATATTCGAATTATTTATTAGAAAAAAAAAATTTAATTAATTATTCATAACTTAATATAAAAATCATAACTTAAAAATTTTAGTAGCATATATTTTGATTATTACATAAATAATAATTTATTAAATGTTTTAAAAAAATATAATTTAACAATTAGTTTGTCATTAATGTTGAATAATATAGCTTTTATTCTAAATATTTTTAAATATTTATTTTTGCATTAAACAAACAAAAAAACAGGAAAGAGTTAAAAACATAATTAAACCAAAAAAATATTTTATATAAAAATACGAGTGGAAAGGTCATTAAAAAGAAATATTATATTAATTTGATAAAATGAAGGGGCCCACATTCTTGGGGAAGTCCCCGCGTACATAACGGTCAAAACCTTTTTGATACGCTCTTGATGGGAACTGCCCTGAACCCACTGTTATTTACCAAGAGATGTCCTCCCTCCCATCGGGCAAGGAAAAAGCAACGTAAAACGACGCCGTTCAATCCTCCTCTCCCTCTCGTTTTTAAACCAGAAAACGAAAAATCAAAAACAAATCGAAAAAAAAAAAAAATCCCTCCAACCCTCGCAGCGGAACCCTAGAACCAGAAATTCTTATTGACAGGAACAAAGGATGGCCATCGCACGAACCGGAGTCTATGTTGACGATTACCTGGAGTGTATGTTTCCCTAAGATTCCTAGAATTGTTGTTCTTTTTTTTTTAATATATTTTTAAGTTCTCATTTTTGGGGTGTCAACTTTTTTAAATTGCAACAGATGCAAGTACATTGCCTGCTGAGCTGCAGAGACTCCTCAATACTGTCCGGGAACTCGATGAGCGATCCCAGTGTAAGCTATACTTTAAATATGTATATGCAAATTACTTCTTCACATGCTTATATATATGGTTTTGTAGGTATATAGTGTTATAATCTTGTTTTTAGTTGTTTTTATTTTGTTATAAGATGTTATTTTTGTTATATATATGCATTTCCATCTTTCTGTAAGTTTGTGTCTCATGAATGTATTTATTGTATGCCTCTGTAAGTAAATATAATTTGTATATATTTCTATGTATTGTTCTTTGTGTAAGTGTTGGAAATTTTAATTGATTATGATATATATCTGAAGCAATGATAAACCAAACAAGGCAACAGACAAAGTATTGCTTGGGATTGGCATCACAGAATTCCAAGAAAGGGAATGGTAATAGTGGTAATTACCATAATGGTTACGAAGACGATGAAACAATTGAGAAAATACGGAAAGAAATCGAGGCTAGTCAGGAAAGTGCTCTGAGTTTGTGTACAGAGAAGGTTTTGTTGGCACGGCAAGCCTATGACCTTGTAAGCTGCATTTTTGTCAATGGCTTCTTTATGATTTATTCTTATGTATATTTGCTTTTTTGGAATTCTTTATGTTGATTATTCTATATGATGATTTCCATATATGACTTTCTCCCTGTATGGTATTGAAGCTTAGGCTGTAGGTATGCTTTTTATTGCACCTTCTGTGAGTATGTATTTGTTGTTGAGCAAATACGGAACTGTTCTAGTTAGCTTGATTTGGTTACTTTCCTCTCCGAGAATAAGGAACTGGTTTGAAATTGCCCTCAGGCTAGGCGCCTCTTTAAAATGGCTCAGAAGCAAAAAGAGAAAAAAGCAATTGTCTTAGCATGTGGTCGAGAAGTAACTTGACGTCAGTTTGGTTTCATCTATAACTGCATGATTGTTTGACGGAAAGCTTTATGGTTTTGCCTTGCTCGGAAGCAATCTAACATCTTATTAATGTATAGCATTCACACAAACATGTGTGATAGTGAAAGTTTTAGGTGTAATTAGCTTCTGCTGGAGTCTTCTTTGTTTAGAGGTTGAAATCTGACAAATTTCCAGGAATTTTTCTTGATGATTCAGTATGTAATTCATGCACTCCTATCTTTGAATGCTATGCTGTAGATGGCTTAAGGCATATTAGTTGCATAGGGTCTTGCACCATCAAATTTTATCTGGTACAAGTTACCCAAAATTTAAGGATTTGGTACATTTTCTCTGGAATATCTTGTAATGTTGCATTGATATACCTAATTCTTCAGGTGAAATTCTATGGCTTGTTCTGTATCATCATTCAAGCATCATAATCCTATATCATCAGCTCAAGCACACAAATGCAGCTGCTATGGCTTTATTTTATGGGTTCCTTTTTGAGCAGTGCTCTGGGCTTATTGCAACCAGTTATAATTAGTGCTAACAGAAAGTTTCCATTTTCTGGTATCTCTTTCAGATAGATAGCCATGTAAAACGTCTTGATGAAGATCTCAACAACTTTGCAGAAGATCTAAAGCAAGGTAGGTTAAATGCAATAAACAAGGTTTTATTTTGCTTGTATTCACTCTACTACATGTCAAAATCCAGGGGCACTGCAAACTTAGTTTGTTATGTGACTCAGTAAGTCTGTGCAAGCAAAATATGAATCTCATTCTTGAAACTCAATAAATTTATATTCCATTATTGCACAGTGACACAAGACAGTAAATTGATCCTGGCACTCAAAAAATGGCCTGGTAAAAAAGAGAGTTTGACTGCTTAATATGTTGAGAGTATAAAAATTGTTTTAGCTTTGAAATGACAGTTTGGGGTAGTTTGCCTTATGTTCTCATTCTGTTTCCAACTTTTAGAGGGAAAAATACCTCCAGATGAACCTGCTATTCTTCCTCCGTTGCCTATAGTACCAAAAGCTGAAAAGCGCAAGTCCTTTTATGGAACACCTCAATCAAAAAAGATAGATTATAGAGATAGAGAATGGGATCGAGAGCGTGATAGGGATTTTGAGCTAATGCCTCCTCCAGGAAGCCATAAAAAGGATTTTGCTACACCTGCTGATGTTGATCAGCCTATTGACCCCAATGAACCTACTTACTGTGTCTGTCATCAGGTAATGTTTTCTGCGCGACAATTTTTCTTTCTTTTTCAGGAAAATAAGTTAACGTACATCCTGTTTAGTTTTTTTTTTTTTGGCGAGAATTTGGTATGAAACTGAAGTGCTGTAATGTAATTTTCATGACCATCAGGTGTCATTTGGAGATATGATCGCCTGTGACAATGAAAATGTGAGTTTACTAAGTTGATTTTCTTCCTCTTATTTTCTGCTCCATTTCCTTCATTTCAGTTCACATTCAAGCATTGGATACTAAAGATTTTCAAAGTAAATTAAGATTGCAATACATGTTATTACAATCATATTGATCAGGAGTTTAGGATGGACCAACCTCTTTTTTCCTTCCCCACTTGACTTTTGTTAGCCGCACGAGGGAGAATTCCAGCTAAATGTTAAGCCGTGGGAATTTTTTAGAAGCTACCACAACGAAGTTTTTGAAATTTTTTTCTTGTTGTTTCAGTTACCATATTTTGGCTTTTAAAAGAAAATCCTTTGCTTGTTTCTTAATCTTTCTTTGTCAAGAAGATCTTGAAAATGAAATATTGTTTCTATCTCACATAACTGAAGGTTATTTTCAAGAATGTCGTTTATGTAATCCCTGTTTTCTCAGAAGAAATGTTCATTTTGAAGGCACTTGTTAATTTACACGAATGCTTCATTTTTCAACAGTGCCAAGGAGGTGAATGGTTCCATTACTCGTGCGTTGGACTGACACCAGAGACAAGATTCAAAGGAAAATGGTTTTGTCCAACCTGTAGACTTCTGCCACAAGGTCAATAAATTGTGTCTGCCATCTTGGTACCATAAAGTTTTCATTATCAACAGTTCAGCATCTTCTTCATACAGAAAGGTAGAAAAGTTGGCATGACAAATTGGCCAATAAGGTTTGCCCGACTATCTGGTCTCACATTAAGTCGTATGTCCTTCTGCAATAAAGGAAGAAGAATCATCTCCACTTTCTGCTAGGCTTTAAAATGCTGACCAAGTTATCTGGTCTTTTATTGGGTAACAAATAGTTGCTGCTTGAGGAGTTCTAAGAAGGGAGAAAATGAACTAACTAGGAAACAAAGTGAAAGTTGTGGGTTCCATTATACTGTAGCGAATTTTTCATTTTCTTGATGAGAATTTTTTAAGAGCTCCATTCTCTTTGTGTAAGTTGTAAGTTCCACGTTCGTTATTGCTGCAACGTCATAAAAACCCATGTGTGTAGTTTTTTGATTAAATATCACAGAAACTTGAATTTATTCCGAAATACATGTCATAGCACATCATTTAATTTCCTTTTCTAAATTACATATCTTGTTGTCAAAATTACCTTTTAGGGACTATTGAAATTTGTTTTAGAAGTGAAGATTGTTAGCCAAATAAAGAAATGTCGGTTTCTGTTTATTTGAGTCCCGGGAAGCTGAATTTATGATCATTTGATGGAAAGCAAGATACTTCGACACACCTCGAGGAAGAAATCTAAAGTTCCTTGGGTACACATGAACTCCCCATAACTTGTGTTGGTGAAAATTAGGGTAAATTTAGTGGTATAGGAGTAGGTTTTTGTGAAATCCCCTATGACAACAATAGTAGGTAGTTTAAAACAATGCCAAGTACTTTGATTTGTTTTGGTCGCTTGTTCCTTTAGACTGGATTCTCTTGGCTTATGAGATGCCTTCTGGAAAAACATTGAAGAAAGATTATGGATGATATGGTGGATTATTAGTTGAAGTATAGTATTACTTTGATTTATTACTCTTACTGTTCTAGTTTAAGCAAGTGCTCCACTAAAGACAAAATTGAACTAAATGCAGATTTCTTTTTTCTTTTTTTTTTTTTGGTATTTTTTTTTTTCAAACATAGTCTTAAATTTATTAAAAGGTAATAAAAAAAATCATACGAGATTCATAAATTTTTATTTTTAATGATAATTCACAAATAAATTTTATAAGATTTATGTACTTATACTATAAATATTCTTAACAAACATTTAATCGCAATTTTATTAGAATATGATTTGATGTCATACGTATTGCTATTATTCGATAGATAAAACGAATAAGTAATTCATTTTGTAAATAAAATTTGATAAATGTTTTGAATTATTAATAGATAATTTATATTTATATTTATATAATAATAATTTTACAAATTACCCATAAAGGTTTGGTGAAAATCTTCTTATAAGAAGAAAGAAAACCTTAACTTATAGTTTAGGAAAAAAACAAAATAAATTAGAGTGAATATCGTCAAGCCTTTATAGGGAAGGGTCTTCTTGAGATTATGCATCTTGTGGAGATCTAATATGATATTAGAAATTAAATACCTGAAAAAAAAATCATAATTTAAGGGATTATAATTTTAATATATAGTTGAAATAAATAAACTTCAAATAATTGTGGACATTTAAAATTTTACATTTTATGTTATAATTATTTTAAATTTTAAAATATATTTTGTGTGCAATTTGATGAGTGCATTTTAAATTTATCAAATTCGAGGAGATATAGAAATAAATATTAGAATTTAAAAAAAAAAATCATGATGATTTTATGTTATTCATAATAAATTAGTAATATATATATTTTCGACAATTTTATAATGATAATACATTTTAAAATAAAAAATCAGATTCAACTTTTTAATTTTTTATAAAAAGATATTGGATGTACTAAAAATTTAACAAAAATATTAAAAAAATAATAATTTAAATTTTTTGTTGGTTGGCATATAGTATTTAAGTTAAAAAAAAAAAAAAGCTTATTAGCTGTTTGCAAACACTTTTAAATGAAAAAAAAAAAAAAAATTACATTTCAAAAGAATAAATTTCCAATAAATAAATTAAATTTTTTAAAAGACAAAAAAAATTTGAAAAACCGTTTATCGTTATTCGTTTGTATCGGAAAGAAAAGGGCATTATCGTCCAATCATTCAAGCAGGCAATGGGCCCCACCTAAAGAAGGGATAGCGGTGGAAATAAATAGAAGGATTTGAATTTCAACGAATATTCCCGACGCTTTGGTTTAACAGACAGCTCCGGCGAAAAGGCAAGCTTTCTTGAAGTTTCGATTCTCTGTGGAGTTTCTGATGCTCATTGCTCGTCAACAGGAATTGGTAAATGTCCGTCTCTTGATTTTGGTTTCTTCTCTGTGATTTCAGTTAGAGAGCAGGGTTTTTGTGTGTTTTCTTTTGGATTTTGATGTTCTTGTGATTTCTGTGATTTAAGTGTATCCGGCGATACCTATTTGCTAATTTGAGCTCCTGGTTTGTGATTTCACCTTATTTTAGAGTCTTAATGCGTTTTCTATGTCCTTAGTGTTGGTTTTATGGGATCTGTGACTTTTGTTGGCCATTTTAGCTTAATCCCTAGTATACCCGTTTGGGACTCCTGATTATTATTATGGAATTTTACATTCTCTGTTTTCCTCCTAATGTAGTCTGATTGGGTTTGTTTATGGGAAGCAGGAAATTGCCACATCCATTTTCAGGATTCAAAGTTTCGGTTTGCTGTTTGTTTTTCCGTTTCCTGATCCTTGCTGGGTCAATTCTCAGAGTTCTTTACGTTTCTGCTATGGTAACTTCGTAAATTTCTTTACGGACCGTCTCAATAATCCTTTTATTTTGATTCAGGTTGGCAATGGGTAGAAATCTTAGTCCAGTATTACGGCGGGAGTTGGCAATTCTTGATAAAGATGCTGATAGCCGTAAATCAGCAATGAAGGCACTGAAGTCATATGTGAAAGATTTGGATTCAAAGGCAATCCCTGTCTTTCTTGCACAAGTTTCTGAAACCAAAAAAACTGGATTCTTGTCTGGGGAATTCACAATATCCCGGTATGAAGTTCTTGCTCGTGTCCACGGAGTCAACCTAGTTCCTCAGATTGACAGCATTATGACTACTATTATAAAGAAACTGGCCTCAAGTGCAGGGCCTTTCCCTCTTAAGCAGACATTTCTGATTCACCTTTGGTGGACCATGTATATACTGATAACGGTGCAGATTACTCTCATGAGTTTGCTGGGGTTCTGCAAAGAAGTCCTAGAAATAGGCTGCTGAGAAGTGCTACTCCCAGTCCTCAGGTAAAATGCTCACGTGTTTTTAAATTTGCTTTACTGAGATATCCTTATCTGAAGTGTAATATCAGCTTTTATAGTACAATTATATCATGATCTCTTGAATATGATTAGAAGCATGATTGATGAGTTTCTGCAGTTGGCTGGCGCCGCAGAAAACAAATCTGATAAAAAGTTCTGAAAAAATATATAGAATAACAGTAGAATTACCCAGAACTCCCTAAATATTAAACAGCAAATTTGGTGCCTGGCCAGTTTTAAAAAGCTCCATTCCTTTCATTTATTGGTAGTGGGTGTTGCTTATAGGATTGTGAAGCTGTGATGCTTGACTGCTGGATAATATAGCAGTTACAAATTATAACTTTACTAATAGTCACTTGCGATAGGTTCAGTGTAGCACTTTGCCCAATTCACAGCTTTATGGTGTTAAACTTCCTAACAGTGTTAGTCTTATGCTAACTTCATTTCTGTTTCATTTTGTTTCGGACATATGCTGTTATATGACATGAGTATTTTGCTTTGTTTTAATTTCTGATGTTGATGCTGATTGCTAATGTAAATTGCATTTTGCAATCTTCTGCTTCAGAGATCAGGCTCTCGGATTAATGCTGGCAATGTTAACATCTTTATGACTCCGAGGAAGCTTATTCACTCTCTTCAAGATGCTACTGATGTTGACTCAGACTTCTCAGGCAGAAAACCTAGGAGATTCAGAAGTCCGTGTTCAAGAAACTTTGATATGAAACCAAAACCACACCAGGATTGTTTTCTGCATGATTCAGTCCATGAGGTAAAAGGGAATGGAAATTCTAGTACTGCTGGTGAGAAATCTCGATGTGTATCTGAATCAGTGTCATCGACAGATGAGGCTCCTCTTGATGCTGATGCACAAATCCATCACAAGGTCATTCCTCAAAATGTTACCGAAATGCAGAAAATTTACATCTATGTATATGCATATATATTTGTCCGTTGAATTGTTGGTCCTTTTTCTTTATATATATTTTTAAGTTCTCAATTTTTGGGGTTTAAAATTTTTGAATTTTCAACAGATGCAAGTAGATTGTCTGCTGAGTTGCAGCGACTTATTAACACTGTCCAGGAACTCGATGGGCGATCCCAGTGTAAGCTGTACTTTAAACATTGACATGCAAATTACTTCTTTATATGCTTTTTTTTTTTATATATAAAAAGTTTAGAGCATGTATTAACATAGTATCAAAGGAAAGGGTGTACCACCCGTATACAAAAGTATTTACATAGAAGTTAAAGTGTCAATGACATCCCCAAAATTCACATTACTAGTGATATCATGATTTAACATAATCGACTCAAATAAATATATCCATCTATCTATTAGTTTATTAGTACTACTCTCAACAAAATCAAAAGCTCTCCTATTCGTCTTTTTCCTAATGATCCTACTTCTTCATATGCTTATTTATGTGGTTTTGTAAGTATATAGTGTTATGATCTTATCTTTATTTTGTTATAAGTCATTCTATTTTGTTTAAATATCAGTGAATCTTGGGTTTATTCCAAAATACATGTCATAGCACATCATTTAACTTCCTTTTCTAAATTACATAATTTATGTTCAAAATTACCTTTTAGAGACTATTGAAATTTGTTTTAGAAGTGAAGATTGATAGATTTTGACTACTAATTACTAATACTAATAACAATCAAAATAAAACTCAAACACAATATTATTGTAAAGAATTTCCTTCTAATAGTTGAGTACATATAGTTGCTTGAAACTAGAAAACAAAAAGCCTAATCTAATTTTTATTGACGAAGTAATTAAACTCAAAGAAAAATTAGGCAGCACATGCCGGAGCACCGAAGTCTCTAATAGTTACAAAAACAATGGAATCTGGTTCGACATGGATGGGCAACGAAGCATCCACAAGGTTTGGATTCATTGGTGGGATTTCGAGAGAATCAGTGAGCTTCAGTGGAGTACCATTAAGTAGAACAACATTGCTTTGAATATTCCCATGTTCTGGAGTCAAATGGTACTCTTCTCTTCTCTTTCTCCCATCAATGCTGTATCCAACCTTTCTATTTCTTGTGCCTCGGACGTAATCGCCTACCAGTAGATTGTAATCTTCACCCACCGTGACATCGTAAGCAATAGAGTTTGACATGCTGATCAGAACTAAACTGATTCCAGGCTGCATACAGATTAATCCAACTTAATATAATAATCTAATTAATCAGATCATCTCTGATGTTGGGTTTAGATCATATCATCACTTACCTTATCTCTTGCACAATGAGAATAAACGCGTAAAAATGGAGAGCCATCATGGGTGACTCGGAGAACGTTTGGTCCCATCAACCGATGCCACAATAGAGCTCTGTTATGTACATCAAACAATTTATATATATATATATATATATATATGTGTGTGTGTGTTACTTTGGATTACATGTTTAGATATATAGAAAGAAATAGGAAAGTAAGTTGAAGAGAAAACTGACCCATAATAATCAGGATTAGGAACAAAAGTTGTGGTATTAAGGAGGGCATAGTTTCCACCAATTAAGGCTTGTCTGCAGTAAACCTTATGGTTGAAAGTGGATGTCATACCCAGTTGATCTATATACCTGTTAAACATTATTTATTTCAGTCTCCCTCTCTCATTTTCTCTCTCTCTCTAGATGTATGTATGTACGTGTTTATATATAATGAGTAAATTAAATAATCTGATAATAATCACCAGAAGCCATCAACGAAGTACTGTTGAACATCTTTGCCACCACTATTATATGCTCCACCGGATTCACTGACCCAAGGTCCTGTCCAGGATGCATACACAGCTGCATCTTTTGAAACATCTTTGAAAGTTTGAGCTATTTGATCCAAATAAAGAGGATCTTGAATCCGATTAATCAGTTCTTTGTCAACACCTACAAACCAATATATGTAATTACATACATAAACATAACTATATGCAATCAACACAATCTTCATTATGTAAACATAATGAGGAAACGGAGAGGAAGAAATACCAGGACCCATGTTGTAGATATGGTGGGTGACTCCACCAAGAACTTCAAACCCTGTGGCTTGAAGGAATTCATTGAACCATGTTTCCTCATAAAATCCAGACGGACCCAACACTTTTGGTTGTGTTTTTTCATGTTTATATACTTGTTGCACGATTTTCTTCAGTGCCACCACGTCTTTCGCATATTGTTTTGCTTCAATTCTTGCAGAAACACCAGTTCCACACAACTCGTTTCCTGTTCAGATTTCACCACATATGTGCATATATATATCTTTAGAGTTTTCTTTCTTATTCTTTTAGGGAAGAAAAGAGAACAGAGAAAAATCCTCCTACCAAATTCATACGAGTCAATGTTGTATCCCTTGGAAAGAGTATAATTGATAAAATCCTTAGCATTTTTTGAGTCCCAGTCACCTTCCCACAAGATATCATTCTCATCGGCACTCTTCTTCTTTCCAATAAGAGCATTTATTCCAAAGGTTACTTTGGCTCTGCATAAAATATCAACACCATAAAGTGTATATATAGACACACATACGCATATATATAAATTCTCATGCCAACGATGATACATATATATACCCTGTTTTGTTGAAAAAAGAGTTGAGCTGATCCCATCTGTGCATCTCCAAGCAACCACCACTAAACCCGAAGAGAGTACCATTCTTGGTGGCGAAAGGTTTGCATTCCTTGGCTGCATCACCGAGCTTGTATATCACCTGATCTTGTAATGACCCTCCCACTCTGAGTCTCAAAGGCTGAAACGCTGCAGTTTTATATTCACAATTGTAAAATATTGAACAGAAGATAACTATGTTGGAATATTTAATTTATTTTTTTACGGTGAAACATAACGGGAAAAATAGCAGGAAAAAAATAGAGAAACCGAAGAAAGAAAGAAGAATTCAGAGCTTGGAAACGAAGGAAGAAGAAGAAGAAAAGAAGATGGCGGTTGAAAAACAATAACATATATATATATATGGCTGGTATATATATGTAAGAGCAAAAGGGGGAAAAGTAAGGCGGCAACCTTGCCGCGCTACAGCCCAACGGACTACATATATTATATGGCGGGAGCCAATACAGCCATGTATATATATATATATATTCTTAATTGCCAAACAAACCCAAAACACATATTCTAGAAAATAAAGGATTTGGAGTGGGATTGAAAACTTACCCTTTATGGAATTTACTAGGATCTTGTTATTCAAATCCTGTATAAAGCAAGAAGTAAAAAACTTTGTATTTAGTACATATATACATATATATATATATATGTGTGTGTGTACGTAAGTAGGTGTATGTGTAGTGTACGAGGTGAAGAGAAAAGGAAAGAAAATACCAGATATGGAATTCCAGATTGGCCCCAAGGGCACTGGTCATAATCACATTTGTTTTTAGGCCACCAATCCAGAGTAGCACATACAAAAGTATCATCTGTTTTGGCAATGGAAGTTACTCCTTGGACTGTCACCTGAACATCTTCTGCTGCCACCAACCCAGAAATCAACCATGCAAGAATTACGAAAACTCCAATTAATCTCGCCATTGTGAATATTACTTCACAGATTCACAGATCACTGATAATATGTCTATCTTCTCCATCATAGATCACATATATATATATATAAGCAGTGGTAGTGTCCCAGTGCATCTATAACTTAAAATTATATTTTTTATTGACTTTTTTTAAATTCGGTATCTTTAATGTATTTTATGTCTCTTTAATTATATATATTATATATTTATTTAATTAGTATTTATATTTATATTAGAACTCCCTGGTTAGAAGTTCAACTAATTATCTAATTACAAATCCCCTATACTACTGAAACACTTACTGAAACCAATTTTTTAACATATGGAATTCTTTTAATCAACTCTCTCTCTTTAAAATCAAATACCGAAACACTTACTGAAACCACCTCCTCTGTCTCTCTGGCCGCAGACTTGCAGAGAAAAATTCTTGGGCTACCCGCGTCGACTCAACAAACTACAATATTCCATCTTCAACAGATAGCTTCATCTAACAAACTACCTCCAATCCTATAACTGTTGCATGTTTTAATGGCTGGTTTCACAGAATCAGAGAAGAAGTAATCTCCTCCAGATTGTTCACTTACTGGACAGTAAGATTTTCTTTTTAAAAAAAAATTAATTAATTAATTTATGAATTCTTTTTTACTATACTAATTAATTATAATCAAGTTAAAAGTATATAAAACTGATTAAAAATTAAATAATGCACGTATATTTAGGATGACCATGTGCTGTATATGACCTCATACCCACGTGTGCTGCTACATTAAGTCAAATCCCTAATTTGTTTAAGCTCGTCGAATCAAACCCACATGATGCATGAGAAGTTGCCCATGTTTGACCCATGATGCATGATCGTCAAAGCTCACACACACGTATACATGTACATATGTATGGTGTATGTATGTTGTAATGATGTCTGATCTGTTGCTGATCGCAGAGTGATTCATATCAAGCTACAGGATGTTACAACCTTCTTTGTTCGGGCTTTGTGCAAACCAACGGCAAGATTGCCATTGGAGCTGCCATTTCACCTGTTTCAACCTACAAAGGCAGCCAGTTTGATATAACCATTCTTATTTGGAAGGTAATTTTATCTAATATTAATTATTAATTTAATTAATTAAGAATAATATTTTACAACATCAATGCACTATTATGTCTAATATATTTACGTTCATAATCTCCGTAATTAAATTAATTAGGATCCAAAACTTGGAAATTGGTGGATGGGATTTGGAGACAATACACTGGTAGGGTACTGGCCAGCAGAATTGTTCACACACTTGGCAGACCATGCTACTATGGTGGAATGGGGTGGAGAGGTTGTGAATTCGCGTGCCAATGGTGAGCACACCTCGACACAGATGGGCTCCGGTCATTTTGCTGAAGATGGTTTTGGGAAAGCAAGTTATTTTCGGAAGCTCGAGATTGTTGATTCCGATAACAGTTTGAGTTCAGTGAGTGAAGTATCAACTTTAGCTGAGAACACAAATTGCTACAATATTCAAAGTGCTTACAACAATGAATGGGGAACTTATTTCTACTACGGGGGACCTGGGTATAATCCACGGTGCTCTTGAATTAACCAAGATAATCATCTAGACGACGTTATTTGGAAAAATATAAACGTCCATCAAATTCTTTTTGAAAGTGTAATTATAAAATTATTATGTGCTATTTCCTTTCTTGTTTATGCTAGTTTTATATGTTTAATTTTGTTTAAATGCAAGCAAGGAATTTGTATCTTATTAAATAAGACCAACTCCATGTAATGATGTTGCATAAACAGGTATGGAAATAGCAGTATTTTGAGTAGATGTATCAATTTTAGTTGAATGTAACGCAATTTCAGTTCTTTATATTAAGATTTTTATTTGTCTTTTATCGTATTTAATTTGCTTATAATTATTTTTGATATAATAAAAACAATGAATTATTATTAAACCACATGATTTTAGATTGGGAGCAATTTCGAGGTAAAAAATAGCCGATCACAACTTTTAATCAAATCCCTCCCTAATCACAACATCAAGTCTAAACTCAATTTAGGCATATTTCCAACTTGACTCTATTCCAAGTGCAACATTAACATTAATGCCAAAATCAACCTTACTTGAGTATTGTGTCGAGACCAAAGTCGACGATGTGCAGTCTCAGACTCGACCTTAACCTAGGAGTAGTCTTGAGCTAAACTTGGTGATGGCTTGGTCCTAAGCCCCATCACGACTAGGACATGTAGTTCTAAAGTTAATGTTAGCCTAAGTTTATCCTAGATTGAACCCAATGAAACATAGTATTAAGAAAAAAAAAAAACTATCTTTAGTGAGATATGTGTACTAATTTTATTGATATTGACATAGAATATTATCATATATTTTATGCCTCTTTGATTATATATATCTTATTGACTTCTTTTAAATTCGGTATCTTCAATGTATTTTATGCCTCTTTGATTATATTATATTATATATTTATTTAATTAGTATTTATATTTGTACTAGAACTCCCAGCTTAGAAGTTCAACTAATTATCTAATTACAAATCCTCTAAAATACTGAAACACTTACTGAAACCAATTTTCTAACATATCGAATTCTTCTAATCAACTCTCTCTCTTTAAAATCAAATACCGACACACTTAGGTTTTGTTTGGATAAATTTAAGTAATGGTTAGTTAATGTATAATAATGTCAGTAATTAAATGATGATAACACATAATTGGAATGAAATTTTTTTTTTTACATTTGAATGATGATATATTAATGACATATTTTTATTTGGATAATAGTATATTATAGTTGTATTTTCAACTAAATTACTAATTTACTCTTACATATTATATGTAATAGTAAATTGTATAAAAGAAGTATGTAAAAAAAAAAAATAATAATATTTATCAATATAATTATATTTGTATTTAAATAAATAATTATTATACATAATAAAATTCAAATTTTATATTTAATAAAATAATTAATAATTATTTATATTATCACATTAATTTAATTGTCAGGATAAATATAGAATTAATTAAATTAGATGGGGTATAATGGGAAACAAATAGCATGCTAGTCAAATACCACCAATTCGGTGGTTTAAAAATTAATTCTAAAATTTGCAAGTCAAATATCATTTGTTACAATTGAAAGTTGAAACAAACATGGTTTTCTCACGCCCGTGAAATAACATACATTAAAATTGTATCGTTTATCATGATCCAAACACAATTGGAAGTTGAAATAAATACAGCTTTCTCACGCTCGTGAAATAACATACATTAAAATTGTACCGTTCATCGTGATCGAAACAGAGGGTTACTGAAACTATCTCCTCCATCTTTGGCCGCAGACTTGGAGAGAAAAATTCTTGGGCTACTTTCCTCGACTCAACAAACTACAACACTCCATCTTCAACAAATAGCTTCATCTAACAATCTACCTCCAATCCTATAACTGTTATATGTTTTAATGGCTGGTTTCACAGAATAAGAGAAGAATGAACCACCTCCATCTGATTACCTTTTATTCTAATCATAATTTTTTTTTTTGTTTGTTTTAATGCCTGGTTTCACATAATAAGAGAAGAATGAACCACCTCCATCTGATTACCTTTCCTTCTAATCATAATTTTTTTTCGTTTGTTTTAATGGCTGGTTTCACAGAATAAGAGAAGACTGAACCACCTCCATCTTATTACCTTTCCTTCTGGTCATAATTTTTTTTTTGTTTTAATGGCTGGTTTCACAGAATGAGAGAAGAATGAACCACCTCCATCTGATTACCTTTCATTCTAATCATAATTTTTTTTTTGTTTGTTTTAATGGCTAGTTTCACAGAATAAGAGAAGAATGAACCACCTCCATTTGATTACCTTTCCTTCTAATCATAATTTTTTTTTTGTTTGTTTTCACTTTCTTTAGTCAAAAACTTTATGCGTCTATATTTATCTCGTTTATCTGTCATGGTTTTACTGTCGCGTTAATGTCCTATATTCGGCGAATTCTTTACTTAGGACGTTTTGCCAGAGCTGTGTATGCAAGGTCATGTTTACTCATGGCTATTGAGTTTGATACGCATTGGATTAATTGGGAACAGAGAACCTCATGTGGGTTTCTCTTGTTTTCAGTTAAAAGCTTTGTTTAAATCTCATTTAAAACATTGAAGTTGGACGATAATCGAAAAATTGACTAGGAAGGAAAATATATAAATTTGCTTATAAAAGGTTTTTGAAATTTTATTACGATATTGCCGATGGTTGTCTTCTTGTTATTGTCTCCAGGAGTGGAATTGGGGAAAACTGATGTGAAGCTTCTTCAGAGAAGCTGCTGGGAATACAACTCTGGCCGACTCTCTAGCCAAATCTTGGGAAGCCGTATCAGGCCTTGGTCCCTGGTATTCCAGACTCTCTAGCCAAATATGATTTCTTTTTCTGTATTTTTCTTTATTTGCTTTTTTGGAATTCTTTATGTTGATTGCTCATATGATGATTTTCATATATGAATTTCTCCCTGTATGGTATTGAAGCTTATGCTGTAGGTATGCTTTTTATTGCACCTTTTATAAGTACGTACTTGTTGTTAAACAAATAAGGAATTGTTTTAGTTAGTTTGATATGGCTAATTCCCTCTTCAAGAATGAGGAACTGGGTTTGAAATTGCCCTCAGGCTATGTGCCTTTTTAAAATGGTCAGAAGCAAAAAGAGAAAAAAGCAATTATCTTAGTATATAGTCGAAAAGTAACTTGACATCAGTTTGATTTCATCTACACAAACATGTGTAATAGTGAAAGCTTTTAGGTGTAAATAGCTTTTGGTGGAGCCTTCTCTGTTTAGAGGTTGAATCCTGACAAATGCCATGAATTTTTCTTGGGGATTCAATATGTAATTTATGTAATCCTATCTTTGAAGGCTATGCTGTAGATGATTTAAGGCATATTAGTATCGTGTGTAATTGAAGTGTTTAGAGAAAATGAGGTTCTAATTTTTTTATTCCTTATTTTGTTTACATTTAGAAAATATATATAAACTAATTATCTTTATTCTATTTGAACTCTAATTATATGATATAATTATATTATTAGAATTTTAAATAATATAATATTTTATTTAACATAAAATCCTTATCAACACTCCCCCTCAAGTTGGCACAAAGACATCACACATGCCCAACTTACAAATCAGGTTCTGAAGAGATTTGTTGTATACTCCTTTAGTGAAAATGTTACTTACTTAATTGCCAAAAGATATATGATATAAGCATAGAGAGCCACCATCCACCTTCTTTTTTATGAAGTGTTGATCAATCTCAATGTGGTTTATCCTGTCATGTTGAATTGGACTATGAGCAATGTTAATTGCTGTTTTATTATCACAAAATGTGGATAGTTTCTTATTTTTAAATAGTTTTAACTCCCTCATTAGCTTTTGCAACCATAGTACTTCACATACTCCTTGGGCCATTGTTCTATATTCTGCTTCAGTATTGGAGCGAGCAACCATACTTTATTTCTTACTTTTCCATGTGACTAAGTTGTCTCCTACAAGTGTGTAGTAACCTGTAGTTGATCTTCCATCATCTAGAAAACCATCCCAATCAGCATCTGTAAATGCTTCTATTTTAAGATGACCATACTTAGAAAAGAGCAGATCTTTTCTTGGTGCAGTTTTCAGGTATCGTAAATGCAGAAGACAGCATATAAATGAGTCTCACGAGTATCATGCATGTAGTGGCTCACAAGATTAACTGCATATACTATATCAGGTCTGGTATGTGAGAGGTAAATTGGTCTTTCATCTAGTCTCTGGTATCTTCCCAAATCAACTGATGTACCACTACCTGCTTGCAATTTGTGGTTACTCTCCATAGGTGATTCTGCCGGCTTGCAACCCATCATACCAGTCTCTTCTAGTAAGTCTATGATATACTTCCTTTGAGAAATGAAGATCTCTTTATTGGATCTACCAAATTCAATCCTCAAGAAGTATTGTAATATTCCTAAATCTTTTATTTCAAACTTTTGAGCAAGAAGTTCATTCAACCGAGGCATCTCCTTCGTATCATCCTTAGTCACCACAATATCATCCACATAAACAATGAGAAGAGTGACTTTACCCTTACGATGTTTAATAAACAAGGTATGATCCGCATTACTTTGTTGATATCCAAAAGAGATCATAACTCTTCTAAACCATTCAAACTATGCTCTTGGAGACTGCTTCAATCTATATAAAATATTTTTTAATTGACAAACTTTTCCTTGCATCCTCTCATTTTCAAATCCAGATAAAATTTTCATGTACACATCTTCCTCTAAGTCTCTATGGAGGAATGCATTTTTTATATCAAACTACTGTAAATCCCAATCAAGGTTAGTTGCAAAAACAAAAGTATCATAATTGTGTTCATCTTCGCAGGTGCGAATGTCTCCTGATAGTCAATCCCATAGGTTTGAATAAATCCTTTAGCCACCAATATAGCTTTGTACTTTTCGATTGATCCATCTGCTTTGTGTTTTACAGTGAACACCAATTTACAACCAACTATCTTTTTTTCCTGTAGAGGCGAAACAAGTTCCCATATTTTATTTTTTTTCAATGCTCTCATTTCTTCAATCATGCCTTTCTTCCATTTGGGATCTCCTAGAACTTCTCTCCAATCATGTGGAATAGACACAGAAGAAACAGACAAGATAAAGCCTCTATAGGAGGGAGATAGAGAGTCATAGGAAACAAAGTTAGAGATAGGGTGCTTAGTGCAAGTTCTCGTTCCCTTTCTAATAGCAATAAGTTTATCCGATAAATGAAAAAAAAAAAGATAACTCACTAGCATCTTCTAGAACCAAAGAAGATTTTGACCTGGGACACACTGTATAATGAATTTTTCAGACTTCTCTCTCTTTGAATATCTTTTCAAGTCTGATTTATCTAGACATTCAACATTATTTTATTGATTAAGACTTTCTATAATAGAATTCTCCCATTGAATATGATTCTCAATCTTTACTCAATTAGGTATCACTTCTTCTTTCTCACTTTCTCCCTGAAGAGGTGTTGAGTTTGAGTTGAAGTAATGTTCATTCTCTCTAAAAGTAACATCCATAGTTATAATGTATTTTCTAAATAGTTGATGATAACATTTATAGCCTTTTTTGGGTAGAAGAATATCCAACAAATACACACTTAAAAGCTCTAACTTCTAGTTTACTCACATTTCTAGCATGAACAAAGCACACACATCCAAACACTTCTATAGTACTTTTAAAATTCAGTATCCGCAAAGATATTTTATTGATAAGATAGACAGCTGAGAGAACTGCATTTCTCCAGTAACTCTTTGGTAGATTCATGGTGAACATTATTAACCGATCTACCTCTAGTATGTATCTATTTTTTCTTTCAGCAACTCCATTTTGTTTACTGGTGTAGGCATAACTTATTTGATGAATTATCCTATTTGACTTCAGGTAGGCACATAACCCACTATCCATATATTCTGTACCATTGTCAGTTCGCAGAATCTTAATTTTAGCGCCAAACTGTGCACATATCAATTTATGGAAAGATTGAAAATATGAAAATATATCACTTTTTGCTTTTAACAGATAAATTCATGTTAATCTAGTACAACAGTCAATAAAAATAACAAACCATCTATGACCAGAAAGAGAGGCATTCTGAGTAGGTCCCCACACATCAGAGTGAATAGTCTTAAAAGGATCAATACTTCTATTATTACTTAAATGATAAGAGCTTCTCTTATATTTAACAAGTTCGCATACATCACAAAATAACAATTCCTTAGAAGTTTTTTTAAATAATTTAGAATATAATTTTTTTAAAATAAAAAAGAAAGGATGTCCCAATCATCGGTGCCATTGTAGTATCTCCATATTAACTTCTTTATTCCCAATTGTTGCTTGATTTCCAATTAAGTTCATATATCTATCCAATACATATAAGTCATCTTGCAGTCTACCAGTGCCAATCTTCTTCCCAGTTTAAAGATCCTGAAAAATATAATGATCAGGAAAAAATTCAATTTTACAGTTGAGATCTCTAGTTATAACACTAATAAATAAAAAATTATCAGAAAAATTAGATACATGTAAAACTGAAGACAATATAATCATAGGAGTACAATTAATGGAACATGTTCCCGACACGGAAGTGTATGACCCATTTGCTATACGGACATTATCTCCTTCAGTGCAAGAGGAATATGTTAAGAATTATTTAAAAGAGCCTGTCATGTGTTTATTAGTTTCAGAGTCTATGATCCAATTATCAGGAGTGGAAATAGAATGAACAATACCTGATTTTATCATATTTGATATGCCAACAGTTGACAGAGAGTTAAGTTGACTCAGAAAGCGTTTCAGATTTTAAATTTCTTCTGTGGAAAAGGCTCCAATGGATGGTGAACCATGTATTTCCCTAACTTCAACAAAATTTGCTTGAGCTCTTGTGATTTCACCTCTTCTTCATCCCCAACCTCTAATTGGTCTTCCATGCAACTTTCAACAAGTTTTTCTAGTGTCTTGACTTGCTACAATAGTCACGTTTTCATATATATCTAGATTGATCAGACTGAGCAACTAATCCAGCTTTCTCAACTGGTGCAATGTGAAGCATGACATTTCTTCTACTCTCTTCTTATTGAACATAAATATAAGTTTGTTTTAATGAAGGAAAAAGATTCTTACCAAGCACTTGGATTCGTATTTGATCATATTCGATCTTCAAACCAGGTAAAAAATTATAAATTCGCTCTTTTTTATCAATTTCTGAAATTTGATTGCATCTGCAGGGCACTCTACTTGAAAATCTTGATAGTAATCTAACTCCTGCCATAATCGATTTAGTTCAGAAAAATATTGAGAAATAGTCAGCTCTCTTTACTTGTGCCATGAATTTTATTCCGGAGTTCATAAATCTAGGTGTTATTACCCATTTGTGAATATGTAAGAGATGCTGCATTCCATATTTTTTCGTCAGTGTTAAGCAACATATATATTCTGCCAATATAGGGTTGCATGGAATTTATGAGTCATAACATTACCAATGAACTCTCAGAGTCCTATCTATTATATTCTAAACTACTAATATCTGGTTTCTTCACTTCACCAGTAATGTAACCCTACATTCCTCTTGATTTGATGAACAATAAATAAGATCTCAATCAAGTAAAATAAGTAGTTCCATCAAGTTTTACGAGACTGATTTGTAATGAAGGATTATCAAAACTAGTAACACTCACTTTTTTTGCTTCTGTCATTTTAGAATGCTAAAAATAACAAGAAAAAATACTCAGTAATAAAAAATGGACCTCCTATCTGCGCCAATGAGCCAAGAAAAGGGAAGCAGATCTGGTTCGGATCTAAACGGCTCGGATTTAGTTCTAAAACGAGTCAGACTCGGCTCTAGAACGGCTCAGACTCGATTCTAAAACGGCTCAAAGTCGGCTTGGCTTGTCTTCTCCGGACAGATCACTGAACGTGCCCAGAAAAAGGTAATAGTGTGGTCTTTTTTACCTGCATCTATTGATATGCGGCCGTAATTTTTTATTGACGTTTCTGGATGTGCAACTTAAATTTTTACCAGCGTCTCCAGATGGGCTGCTGCATCTTTTTATTGGCGCTTGAGGATGTGCAACTGCAATTTTTTACCATCGCTTATGGTTGTGCGGTTGTATATTATTACCAGCGATTTCGGAGGTGCGGCTCCACTTTTTACCGACGCCTGCGAATGTACGGTTTCAATTTTTACCAACGCCTGCAAATGTGCAACTTCAGTTTTTACTAGTGCCTGCGAATGTGCAGCTGTAGTTTTTTATCGGTGCTCTGATACTATGAAGTTTTTAGAGAAAATAAATTTTTAATTTTTTTATTCCTTATTTTGTTTATATTTAGAAGATATATATAGAGTAGTTATCTTTATTTTATTTGAACTTTAATTATAAAATATAACTATACTATTAGAATTCTAAATAATATAATATTCTACTTAACATAAAATTTTTATCAACAGTAATAGTGAAAGCTTTTGGGTGTAATTAGCTTCTACTGACCCCTTCTTTGTTTAGAGGTTGAAATCCTGACAAATTCCAATAATTTTTCTTGATGATTCAGTATGTAATTCATGCAATCCTATCCTTGAAGGCTATGCTGTAGACAGCTTAAGGCATATTAGTTGCATAGGGTCTTGCATCATCAAATTTTATCTGGTACAAGTTACACAAAATTTAAGGATTTGGTACATTTTCTCTGGAACATCTTGTAATGTTGCACGTGATATACCTAATTCTTCAGGTGAAATTCTATGGCTTGTTCGGTATCATCATTCAAGCATCATAATCTTATATCATTAGCCCAAGCACACAAATGCAGCTGCTATGGCTTTATAGTATGGGTTCCTTTTTGAGCATCATGTGCTCTGGGCTTGTTGCAACCAGTTATAATTAGTGCTAACAGAAAGTTTCCACTTTCTTGTATCTGTTTCAGATAGATAGCCATGTAAAACGTCTTGATGAAGATCTCAACAACTTTGCAGAAGATCTAAAGCAAGGTAGGTTAAATGCAATGAACAAAGTTTTATTTTGCTTGTATTCACTCCACTACGTGTCAAAATCCAGGGGCACTGCAAAACTAGTTTGTTATGTGACTCAGTAAGCCTGTGCAAGCAAAATATGAATCTCATTCTTGAAACTCAATAAGTTTATATTCCATTATTGCTCAGTGACACAAGACAGTAAATTGATCCTGGCACCCAAAAAATGGCCTTGTCAAAAAGAGAGTTTGACTGCTTCTTAATATCTTGAGATATGGAGGATGTCAGAGTCCAGTGCCATTGCAGTAGTCTATGAATTTATCCTTTATCACAGTAGCTTTTCACTCATTGTAGTTCAATTAATCTGTTCAGATATCCGTGGAGAGCATAAAAATTGTTTTAGCTTTGAAATGACAGTTTGGTGTAGTTTGCCTTATTTTTTGCCTCTTCTTATATTCTTATTCTGTTTCCGAATTTTAGAGGGAAAGATACCTCCAGATGAACCTGCTATTCTTCCTAGGTTGCCTATAGTACCAAGAACTGAAAAGCGCAAGTCCTTTTATCGAACACCTTAATCAAAGAAGGTAGATTATGGAGACAGAGAATGAGATCGAGAGCATGATAGGAATTTTGAGTTAATGCCTCCTCCAGGAAGCCATAAAAAGGATTTTGCTACATCTGCTGATGTTGATCAGCCTATTGACCCCAATGAACCTACCTACTGTATCTGTCATCAGGTAATGTTTTCTGCCTCACAATTTTTCTTTTTTTCAGGAAAATAAGTTAACATCCATACTCCTGTTCAGTTTTTTTGGCGAGACTTTGGTATGATACTGAAGTGCCGTAATGTAATTTTCATGACCATCAAGTGTCATTTGGAGATATGATTGCCTGTGACAATGAAAATGTGAGTTTGCTATTTTGATTTCTTCCTCTTATTCTCCGCCCCATTTCCTTCAATTCAGTTCACATTCAGGCATTAGATATTTTCAAAGTAAATTAAGATTGCAATACATGTTATTACAATCATATCGATCAGGAGTTTAGGATGGACCAACCTCTACTTTCCTTCCCCACTTGACTTTTTTTAGCTGCACAAGGGAGAATTCCAGCTAACATTAAACCACGGGAATTTTTGTAGAAGCTACCACAACAAGATTTTTGGAACTTTTTTCTTGTTGTTTCAGTTACCGTATTTTGGCTTTTAAAAGAAAATCCTTCTCTAGTTTCTTAATCTTTCTTTGTCAAGAAGACCTTGAAAACGAGATATAGCATCTCATATAAGCAAAGGTTGTTTTCAAGATGTTGTTTGTTTAGTTTATGTTTCTTCAGATGAAATGTTTGTTTTGAAGACACTTGTAAATTTACTCGAATGCTTCATTTCTCAACAGTGCCAAGGAGGTGAATGGTTCCATTACTCATGCGTTGGACTGACACCAGAGACAAGATTTCTGCCAACCTGAAGACTTCTGCCACAAAGTCAATAAATTGTGCTTGCCATCTTGGTACCACAAAGTTTTCATTGTCAACAGTTCAGCATCTTCTTCATACAGAAAGGTAGAAAAGTTGGCATGACTACTTGGCCGATAAGGTTTGCCTCATTAAAGAACTATCTGGTCTCACATTAAGTCATATATCCTTCTGCAATAAAGAAAGAAGAATCATCTCCACTTTCTGCTAGGCTTTAAAACGCTGACCAAGTTATCTGGTCTTTTATTGGGTAACAAATAGTTGCTGCTTGAAGAGTTCTAAGAAGGGAGAAAATGAACTAACTATGAAAAAGAGTGAAAGTTGTGAGTTCCATTATACTTGGCGAATTTTTAATGTTCTTGATGAAAAGTTTTTTAGGAGCTCCATTCTCTTTGGGTAAGTTGTGAGTTCCACATTCGTCATTGCTGCAACATCATCAAAACCCATAGCAGCAATGCCTTTTAGCATTTGATGTGTATAGTTTTTTGGTCAAATATCACAGAATCTTGCGTTTATTCTGAAATACATGTCATAGCACATCTTTTAACTTCCTTCTAAATATCATATCTTGTGGTCAAAATTACCTTTTGGAGACAATGAAAATTTGTTTTAGAAGTGAAGATTGTTATTTTGATTCAGGTTGGTAACGGGCAGAAATCTTAGTCCAATATTACGGCGGGAGTTGGCAATTCTTGATAAAGATGCTTGTAGCGCCCGGACCGAAAAAGAAAAAAAAAAAAAAAAGCCACGTCAGCAGACCCGGTCAACAGTCCCGGCCAACCGGGACCTGCCACGTGGCAAAACCACGTCGTTCCAAAAAGGGCCACGTTGGCGATCCGCGTGGGCGCGATCGGACGGCCCAGATCAAGCGTGCGATCGGACGGCCCAGATTTAAACGCACGGACGGCTGAGATCAAAAGGCAAAGGGTTATAAATAGAACCCCCACACCAGACCACAAACCCTAGCCGCCTGCCGCTCACCGGAGAAGACGAACCAGAAGCCGGCCGCCGCCACCCGCCGCCGCACCGGAGGAATTTCCGACCGCCGATCGAGGTAAATTTCGTACCCCCGACTCGTTTTTCCACGCTGATTCCTCCTGTGGCCAAATCGGAGCCAAAATCCCGGTCAAACGGCCGAGCCCAGCGGCGCCGCCGCGCCCTTCTCGGTTTTTGCCTCCGATGAGGCCCTTCCCGGCCTCCGTTTGATGCAATTTTTATATCACCGTGATCACCATTCTTTTCTCTACAGGTTGACCGGAGCCAAATCACCAAAACACGAACCTCACCAGAGAGCCGCCGCACCCGAGAGCGCCGCCGCCGGTAAGCTCCGTTTTTCCGTGATTTTTTGGCCCCCTGAGGGCCCTAGGGTTGTTTTCTCGCAGGGACCGATGCGAGTGTGGCCGAATTCGGCGGAGCCGCCGTGCCGGAGTTGCGATTTGGGCCGAAAGGGGCCCTGGGCCTAATTTGGGATTTTTTTGGAACACGTGTAGGTACCAGTAGTGCGTTTCAGTTCCCCGAGGAAAATTCAGGGAAAATTAGGGACAGCCTGCAAGCGCACTGTGAAGCCGTGTTCGGACCCCGAAACGAGTAAGGACCCCTCACCCTATTTCCTATCACGGTTTTAAAGTTCAATAAATGATAAAACGGTATTTCATAAATCAACGGATGTGTGAAATTGCTTAAGGTCGCTAATGGAGCCCGAGTCTAGTGTGTTTGTCGATTAACTGTTATTTGGCCTGTTTTACAGTTTTAAATGCAGCATGAGGTTCGATGTTTTCATTTTATAGTTTCGTGTGCATATTTTACTGTTTTATTGATTATGGATTGAATGACCGGGATATTGATACTATATGTTGTCTGTTTGGCATAAATTATCGTTTTGCTTGTTTGTATGTGATTGATAATGCTGACTGAGGGAAAAGGCGAATGAAAGATTATGTAAATGGAAATTGTATAATGTGTTCAGCCTGACTAGATATCCTGAGAGATGGTGGACGGACCGGGTCCGTAGGGAACCCTACCGGGATTGTGGTCTCCCATACCGGACGGGGTATGGGGACGGCCCGTTTCACCCTCATACCGGACGGGGTAATGAGGTCTATGGTTTGGCGCCCATACCGGACGGGGTATAGGGACGGCCCTGGAATGGATCTCAAGTGTTAAGGATTAACGGGTAGCGGGACCCCTATGGATCCCCATGGATACTAGTGGGCTGGTGAATTAGGAAAATATGTTGTGTAACGATTGAATTTCGAAAAGTGTGATAGGTATTATGTTATACAGTTCATATATATGTTTTCATGATAATGATGATGTTATTGCTTTCGTATATTGTTTTATGAATTTCACCGAGGTAAGTAAATGGTAAAGGTTTTATTTTCGATAAAAGGATTTGTTGTAAATTATGCTCCATTGGTCTTTTTGTGTTTTCTACCCACCTTTACCTCCGTGACGGTGAGATATCGTGATGTCTTTACTGGGCTAGTGTAGCTCATTCCTTATTTAATCATTTCAGATCAAGAGGACATCGTTCCCGAGCCGGTTCCGCAGGAGGACGACGAAGGGGACGCCTAAAGACTCCATAGTCACATTCGTAGTTTTTTTACTTTCAAGTTTCTCCTTTAGGTAGTTTAATCTTTTATATTTTGTGAGCACGTTTTGGTTTTAGTGTAAGGGATGTTATTCAAATTTTGACTTCGCTTCCGCATTTGATATTTATAATATAAATTCCATTATGAATTACCGGGGCTGTTACAATGCTAATAGCCGTAAATCAGCAACGAAGGCACTGAAGTCATATGTGAAAGATTTGGATGCAAAGGCAATCCCTGTCTTTCTTGCACAAGTTTCTGAAACCAAAAAAACTGGATTCTTGTCTGGGGAATTCACAATATCCCGGTATGAAGTTCTTGCTCGTGTCCACGGAGTCAACCTAGTTCCTCAGATTGACAGCATTATGACTACTACTATAAAGAAACTGGCCTCAAGTGCAGGGCCTTTCCCTCTTAAGCAGACATTTCTGATTCACCTTTGGTGGACCATGTATATACTGATAACGGTGCAGATTACTCTCATGAGTTTCCTAGAAATAGGCTGCTGAGAAGTGCTACTCCCAGTCCTCAGGTAAAATGCTCACGTGTTTTTAAATTTGCTTTACTGAGATATCCTTATCTGAAGTGTAATATCAGCTTTTATAGTACAATTATATCATGATCTCTTGAATATGATTAGAAGCATGATTGATGAGTTTCTGCAGTTGGCTGGCGCCGCAGAAAACAAATCTAATAAAAAGTTCTGAAAAAATATATAGAATAACAATAGAATTACCCAGAACTCCCTAAATATTAAACAGCAAATTTGGTGCCTGGCCAGTTTTAAAAAGCTCCATTCCTTTCATTTATTGGTAGTGGGTGTCTCTTATAGGATTGTGAAGCTGTGATGCTTAACTGCTGGATAATATAGCAGTTACAAATTACAACTTTACTAATAGTCACTTGCGATAGGTTCAGTGTAGCACTTTGCCCAATTCACAGCTTTATGGTGTTAAACTTCCTAACAGTGTTAGTCTTATGCTAACTTCATTTCTGTTTCATTTTGTTTCGGACATATGCTGTTATATGACATGAGTATTTTGCTTTGTTTTAATTTCTGATGTTGATGCTGATTGCTAATGTAAATTACATTTTGCAATCTTCTGCTTCAGAGATCAGGCTCTCGGATTAATGCTGACAATGTTAACATCTTTATGACTCCAAGGAAGCTTATTTACTCTCTTCAAGATGCTACTGATGTTGACTCAGACTTCTCAGGCAGAAAACCTAGGAGATTCAGAAGTCCGTGTTCAAGAAACTTTGATATGAAACCAAAACCACACCAGGATTGTTTTCTGCATGATTCAGTTCATGAGGTAAAAGGGAATGGGAATTCTAGTACTGCTGGTGAGAAATCTCGATGTGTATCTGAATCAGTGTCATCAACAGATGAGGCTCCTCTTGATGCTGATGCACAAATCCATCACAAGGTCATTCCTCAAAATGTTACCGAAATGCATAAAATTTACATCTATGTATATGCATATATATTTGTCCGTTGAATTGTTGTTCCTTTTTCTTTATATATATTTTTAAAATTTTTGAATTTTCAACAGATGCAAGTAGATTGTCTGCTGAGTTGCAGCGACTTATTAACACTGTCCAGGAACTCGATGGGCGATCCCAGTGTAAGCTGTACTTTAAACATTGACATGCAAATTACTTCTTTATATGCTTCTTTGTATACAACTATATGTATGTGGTTTTGTAAGTATATAGTGTTATGATCTTATCTTTATTTTGTTATAAGTCATTCTATTTTGTTTAAATATCAGTGAATCTTGGGTTTATTCCAAAATACATGTCATAGCACATCATTTAACTTCCTTTTCTAAATTACATAATTTATGTTCAAAATTACCTTTTAGAGACTATTGAAATTTGTTTTAGAAGTGAAGATTGATAGATTTTGACTACTAATTACTAATACTAATAACAATCAAAATAAAACTCAAACACAATATTATTGTAAAGAATTTCCTTCTAATAGTTGAGTACATATAGTTGCTTGAAACTAGAAAACAAAAAGCCTAATCTAATTTTTATTGACGAAGTAATTAAACTCAAAGAAAAATTAGGCAGCACATGCCGGAGCACCGAAGTCTCTAATAGTTACAAAAACAATGGAATCTGGTTCGACATGGATGGGCAACGAAGCATCCACAAGGTTTGGATTCATTGGTGGGATTTCGAGAGAATCAGTGAGCTTCAGTGGAGTACCATTAAGTAGAACAACATTGCTTTGAATATTCCCATGTTCTGGAGTCAAATGGTACTCTTCTCTTCTCTTTCTCCCATCAATGCTGTATCCAACCTTTCTATTTCTTGTGCCTCGGACATAATCGCCTACCAGTAGATTGTAATCTTCACCCACCGTGACATCGTAAGCAATAGAGTTTGACATGCTGATCAGAACTAAACTGATTCCAGGCTGCATACAGATTAATCCAACTTAATATAATAATCTAATTAATCAGATCATCTCTGATGTTGGGTTTAGATCATATCATCACTTACCTTATCTCTTGCACAATGAGAATAAACACGTAAAAATGGAGAGCCATCATGGGTGACTCGGAGAACGTTTGGTCCCATCAACCGATGCCACAATAGAGCTCTGTTATGTACATCAAACAATTTATATATATATATATATATGTTACTTTGGATTACATGTTTAGATATATAGAAATAAATAGGAAAGTAAGTTGAAGAGAAAACTGACCCATAATAATCAGGATTAGGAACAAAAGTTGTGGTATTAAGGAGGGCATAGTTTCCACCAATTAAGGCTTGTCTGCAGTAAACCTTATGGTTGAAAGTGGATGTCATACCCAGTTGATCTATATACCTGTTAAACATTATTTATTTCAGTCTCCCTCTCTCATTTTCTCTCTCTCTCTAGATGTATGTATGTACGTGTTTATATACAATGAGTAAATTAAATAATCTGATAATAATCACCAGAAGCCATCAACGAAGTACTGTTGAACATCTTTGCCACCACTATTATATGCTCCACCGGATTCACTGACCCAAGGTCCTGTCCAGGATGCATACACAGCTGCATCTTTTGAAACATCTTTGAAAGTTTGAGCTATTTGATCCAAATAAAGAGGATCTTGAATCCGATTAATCAGTTCTTTGTCAACACCTACAAACCAATATATGTAATTACATACATAAACATAACTATATGCAATCAACACAATCTTCATTATGTAAACATAATGAGGAAAAGGAGAGGAAGAAATACCAGGACCCATGTTGTAGATATGGTGGGTGACTCCACCAAGAACTTCAAAGCCTGTGGCTTGAAGGAATTCATTGAACCATGTTTCCTCATAAAATCCAGACGGACCCAACACTTTTGGTTGTGTTTTTTCATGTTTATATACTTGTTGCACGATTTTCTTCAGTGCCACCACGTCTTTCGCATATTGTTTTGCTTCAATTCTTGCAGAAACACCAGTTCCACACAACTCGTTTCCTGTTCAGATTTCACCACATATGTGCATATATATATCTTTAGAGTTTTCTTTCTTATTCTTTTAGGGAAGAGAAGAGAACAGAGAAAAATCCTCCTACCAAATTCATACGAGTCAATGTTGTATCCCTTGGAAAGAGTATAATTGATAAAATCCTTAGCATTTTTTGAGTCCCAGTCACCTTCCCACAAGATATCATTCTCATCGGCACTCTTCTTCTTTCCAATAAGAGCATTTATTCCAAAGGTTACTTTGGCTCTGCATAAAATATCAACACCATAAAGTGTATATATAGACACACATACGCATATATATAAATTCTCATGCCAACGATGATACATATATATACCCTGTTTTGTTGAAAAAAGAGTTGAGTTGATCCCATCTGTGCATCTCCAAGCAACCACCACTAAACCCGAAGAGAGTACCATTCTTGGTGGCGAAAGGTTTGCATTCCTTGGCTGCATCACCGAGCTTGTATATCACCTGATCTTGTAATGACCCTCCCACTCTGAGTCTCAAAGGCTGAAACGCTGCAGTTTTATATTCACAATTGTAAAATATTGAACAGAAGATAACTATGTTGGAATATTTAATTTATTTTTTTACGGGAAAAATAGCAGGAAAAAAATAGAGAAACCGAAGAAAGAAAGAAGAATTCAGAGCTTGGAAACGAAGGAAGAAGAAGAAGAAAAGAAGATGGCGGTTGAAAAACAATAACATATATATATATGGCTGGTATATATATGTAAGAGCAAAAGGGGGAAAAGTAAGGCGGCAACCTTGCCGCGCTACAGCCCAACGGACTACATATATTACATGGCGGGAGCCAATACAGCCATCTATATATACATATATATATATATTCTTAATTGCCAAACAAACCCAAAACACATATTCTAGAAAATAAAGGATTTGGAGTGGGATTGAAAACTTACCCTTTATGGAATTTACTAGGATCTTGTTATTCAAATCCTGTATAAAGCAAGAAGTAAAAAACTTTGTATTTAGTACATATATACATATATATATATGTGTGTGTGTACGTAAGTAGGTGTATGTGTAGTGTACGAGGTGAAGAGAAAAGGAAAGAAAATACCAGATATGGAATTCCAGATTGGCCCCAAGGGCACTGGTCATAATCACATTTGTTTTTAGGCCACCAATCCAGAGTAGCACATACAAAGGTATCATCTGTTTTGGCAATGGAAGTTACTCCTTGGACTGTCACCTGAACATCTTCTGCTGCCACCAACCCAGAAATCAACCATGCAAGAATTACGAAAACTCCAATTAATCTCGCCATTGTGAATATTACTTCACAGATTCAGATCACTGATAATATGTCTATCTTCTCCATCATAGATCACATATATATATATATAAGCAGTGGTAGTGTCCCAGTGCATCTATAACTTAAAATTATATCTCCTATTGACTTCTTTCAAATTGGGTATCTTCAATGTATTTTATGCCTCTTTGATTATATGTATTATATATTTATTTAATTAGTATTTATATTTATACTAGAACTCCCAGCTTAAAAGTTCAACTAATTATCTAATTACAAATTCTCTGAAATACTGAAACACTTACTGGAAGCAATTTTCTAACATATCGAATTCTTTTAATCAACTCTCTCTCTCTTTAAAATCAAATACCGAAACACTTACTGAAACCACCTCCTCCGTCTCTCTGGCCGATTACTTGCGGAGAAAAATTCTTGGGCTACCCACCTCGACTCAACAAACTACAATACTCCATCTTCAACAGATAGCTTCATCTAACAATCTACCTCCAATCCTATAACTGTTACATGTTTTAATGGCTGGTTTCACAGAATCAGAGAATAAGTAATCTCCTCCATCTGATTACCTTTTCGTCTAATCATAATTCTTTTTTTTTTTGGTTTTCGCTTTCTTTAGTCGAAAACTTTATACGTCTATATTTATCTCGTTTGTCTGTCATGGTTTTACTGTAGCGTTAATGTCCTATATTCGGCGAATTCTTTACTTAGGACGTTTTGCCAGAGCTGTGTATGCAAGGTCATGTTTACTCATGGCTATTGAGTTGGATACGCATCGGATTAACTGGGAACAGAGAACCTCATGTGGGTTTCTCTTGTTTTCTCCTAAAAGCTTTGTTTAAATCTCGTTTAAAACATTGAAGTTGGACGATAATCGAAAAATTGACTAGGAAGGAAAATATATAAATTTGCTTATGAAAGGTTTTTGAAATTTTATTACGATTGCCGATGTTTGTCTTCTTGTTATTGTCTCCAGGAGTGGAACTGGGGAAAGCCGATGTGAAGCTTCTTCAGAGAAGCTGCCGGGAATACAACTCTGGCCGACTCTGTAGCCAAATCTTGGGAAGCCGTATCAGGCCTTGGTCCCTGGTATTCCAGACTCTCTTGCCAAATATGATTTCTTCTTATGTATTTTTCTTTATTTGCTTTTTTGGAATTCTTTATGTTGATTGCTCGTATGATGATTTTCATATATGAATTTCTCCCTGTATGGTATTGAAGCTTATGCTGTAGGTATGCTTTTTATTGCACCTTTTGTAAGTACGTACTTGTTAAACAAATAAGGAACTGTTTTAGTTAGTTTGATATGGTTAATTCCCTCTCCGAGAATGAGGAACTGGGTTTGAAATTGCCCTCAGGCTATGTGCCTTTTTAAAATGGTCAGAAGCAAAAGGAGAAAAAAGCAATTATCTTAGTATATAGTCGAAAAGTAACTTGACATCAGTTTGATTTCATCTATCACTGCGTGATTGTTTGCTGAAAGCTTTTTGGTTTTACCTTGCTTGGAAGCAATCTAACATCTTAATAATTATACGCATTCACACAAACATGTGTAATAGTGAAATTAGGTGTAAATAGCTTCTGGTAGAGCCGTCTTTGTTTAGAGGTTGAATCCTGACAAATGCCAAGAATTTTTCTTGAGGATTCAATATGTAATTCATGCAATCCTATCTTTGAAGGCTATGCTGTAGACGACTTAAGGCATATTAGTTGCATCGGGTCTTGCACCATCAAATTTTAGCTGGTACAAGTTACCCACATTTCCTTTGGAACATCTTGTAATGTTGCACGTGATCTACCTACTTCTTCAGGTGAAATTCTACGGCTTGTTCTGTATCATCATTCAAGCATCATAATCCTATATCAGTAGCACAAGCACACAAATGCAGCTGCTATGGCTTTATTGTATGGGTTCCTTTTTGGAGCATCATGTGCTCTGTGCTTATTGCAACCAGTTATAATTAGTGCTCACAGAAGGTTTCAACTATTTTGTATCTCTTTCGGATAGATAGCCATGTAAAACGTCTTGATGAAGATCTAATCAACTTTGCAGAAGATCTAAGACAAGGTAGGTTAAATGCCATAAACAAGGTTTTATTTTGCTTGTATTCACTCTACTACATGTCAAAATCCAGGGGCACTTCAAAACTAGTTTGTTATGTGACTCAGTAAGCCTGTGCAAGCAAAATGTGATTCTCATTTTTGAAACTCAATTAATCCAACCCATTTCATGACTAAAATGTGACCAATTAACCAATCAACAAAACTACTTGTTATAAATAAATCTTGTTATTGCATCGAAACATATAAATGTTGACTAATCTAGCTAACATTGAACTTGTAAAATGAAATGGTTGAATAATTGAAAAATGAGATTATCCAGGAATACACATTGAATGCAAAGATTACGTGTTGAATTTCTGGTAGTAGATCCATAATTAAAAAAGTGTTTGTGATTGTTCTTCTTAGTTTATATTCCATTATTGCACATGACACAAGAGAGTAAATGGATTCTGGCACCCAAAAAATGGCCTGGTCAAAAAGAGAATTTAACTGCTTCTTAATATCTCGAGATATGGAGAATTTCAGATTCCAATGCCATTGCAGTAGTCTATGAATTTATTCTTTATCATGGTAGCTTTTTGTTCCTTGTAGTTCAATTAACCTGTTCAGATATCCGTGGAGAGTATAAAAATTGTTTTAGCTTTGAAATGACAGTTTGGGTTGGTTTGCCTTATTTCTTGCCTCTTTTTATATTCTCATTCTGTTTCCAAATTTTGGAGGGAAAAATATCTCCAGATGAACCTGCTATTCTTCCTCCGCTGCCTATGGTACTGAAAACTGAAAACCGCAAGTCCTTTTATGGAGCACCTCAGTCAAAAAAGGTAGATTATAGAGACACAGAATGGGATGGAGAGCTTGATAGGGATTTTGAGCTAATGCCTCCCCAGGAAGCCATAAGAAGGATTTTGCTACACCTGCTGATGTTGATCAGCCTAATGACCCCAATGAACTTATCTACTGTGTCTGTCATCAGGTAATGTTTTCTGCCTCACAATTTTTCTTGACCCCAATGAACTTACCTACTGTGTCTCTCATCAAGTAATGTTTTCTGCCTCACAATTTTTCTTTCTTTTTAAGGAAAATAAGTTAACATCCATTCTCCTGTTCATTTTTTTTTGTCGAGACTTTGGTATGATACTGAAGTGCTGTAATGTAATTTTCATAACCATCTGATGTCATTTGGAGATATGATCACCTATGACAATGAAATTGTGAGTTTATAATTTTGATTTCTTCCTCTTATTCTCTGCTCCATTTCCTTCATTTCAGTTCACATTTAGGCATTAGATACTAAAGATTTTCAAAGTAAATTGAGATTGCAGTACATTTTATTACAATTGTATTGATCAGGAGTTAAGGATGGACCAACCTCTTCTTTCCTTCCCCACTTGACTTTTGTTAGCCGCACAAGGGAGAAGCCCAGCTAAACATTAAACTGTGGGAACTTTTGTAGAAGCTACCACAACAAAAGTTTTGAAACTTTTTTCTTGTTAACGTATTTTGGCTTTTAAAAGAAAATCCTTCACTTTGTCAAGAAGACCTTGAAAACAAGATATTGCTATCTCCCATAACCAAAGGTAATTTTCAAGTTGTTTGTCTAATTTATGTTTTCTCAGAAGAAATGTTTGTTTTGAAGGCACTTGTGAATTTACTCGAATGCTTCATTTCTCAACAGTGCCAAGGAGGTAAATGGTTCCATTACTCGTTTTGGACTGACATTATAGACAAGATTCAGAAGAAAATTGTAGCACCCGGAAAGGAGAAAAAAAAAAAAAAAAAAAAAAGGGGGGGCCACGTCAGCAGCCACGTCAGCAGGCCCGGTCAGCAGTCCCGGCCAACCGGGGCCTGCCACGTGGCAAGACCGCGTCACTCCGAAAGGAGCCACGTTGGCGATCCGCGTGGGTGCGATCCGACGGTCCAGATCAATCGCGCGATCGGACGGCCCAGATTCAATCGCACGGACGGCCCAGATTCAATCAAAAACGAACGGCCCAGATTAAAACGAAATGAACGGCTGTGATCAAAAGGCAAGGGGTTATAAATAGAACCCCCACACCAGACCACAAACCCTAGCCGCCCGCCGCTCGCCGGAGAAGACGAACCAGAGGCCGACCGCCGCCACCCGCCGCCGCACCGGGGAAATTTCCGACCGCCGATCGAGGTAAATTTCATACCCCCGACTCGTTTTTCTCCGCTGATTCCTCCTATGGCCAAATTGAGGCCGAAATCCCGGCCAAACGGCCGGAATACGCGGCCGAAACCCAGCGGCGCTGCCGCGCCCCTCTCGGTTTTTGCCTCCGACGAGGTCCTTCCCGGCCTCCGTTCAATGCAATTTTTATATCACCATGATCACCATTCTTTTCTCTACAGGTTGACCGAAGCCGAATCACCAAAACACGAACCTCGCCGGAGAGCCGCCGTACCCGAGAGCGCCGCCGCCGGTAAGCTCCGCTTTTCCGTGATTTTTGGCCCCCCCGGGGGCCCTAGGGTTGTTTTCTGACAAGGACCAATGCGAGTGTGGCCGAATTCGGCCGAAAATGGCCGAAAACAGCCAACCCGAGGCGACTCGCCGCCGCCAGCGGCGGCGCCGTCGCCGGAGCACGGCGGAGCCGCCGTGCCGGAGTTGCGATTTGGTCCGAAAGGGGCCCTGGGCCTAATTTGGATTTTTTTAGAACACGTGCAGGTACTGTTAGTGTGTTTCAGTTCCCCGGGAAAAATTCAGGGAAAATTAGGGACGGCCTGCAGGCGCACTGTGAATCGTATTCGGATCCCGAAAACAAGTAAGGACCCCTCACCCTATTTCCTATCACGGTATTAAAGTTCAAAATGATAAAACGGTATTTCTTGAATTAACGCATGTGTGAAATTGCTTAAGGTTGCTAATGGAGCCCGAGTCTAGTGTGATTGATGATTTACTGTTATTTGGCCTGTTTTATACTGTTTTACAGCTTTAAATGCATTATGGGGTTTGATGTGTTCATTTTATAGTTTCGAATGCATATATTACTGTTTTATTAATTATGGGTTGAATGACTGAAGAACTGATACTGTATGTTGTCTGTTCGGCATGAATTACGATTTGCTTGTTTAAATGTGAATTGATAATGCTTATTGAGGAAAAAGGGAAATGAAATATTGTATAGACTGATAATTGTATGATGGGGTCAGCCTGACTAGATATCCTGAGAGATGGTGGACGGACCGGGTCCGTAGGGAACCCTACCGGGATTGTGGTCTCACATGCCGGACGGGGTATGGGGATCTTATGGTTTTGGCGCCCATACCGGACGGGGTATGGGGACGGCCCGTTTCACCCTCATACCGGACGGGGTATTGAGGTTTATGGTTTTGGCGCCCATACCGGACGGGGTATGGGGACGGCCCTGGAAACTGATTATGAATGTTAAAGGTTAACGGGTAGCGGGACCGCTAGGGACCCCCATGGATACTAGTAGGCTGGTAAATGAGAAAAAGATATGTTGTATAATGATCGAATTACAAAAGGCGTGATAAGTGCTATGTTGTACAGCTTATATTATTCCATGATTGTGATAATGTTATTATTTTTCTTATATTGTTTTCATAAATTCCACCGAGGTAAGTGGATGGTAAAGGTTTTCATGTTAATAAACGAGTTTATTGTAAATTATGCTCCATTGGTCTTTTTGTGTTTTTCTACCCACCTTTACCTCCGTGACGGTGAGATATCGTGATGTTCTTACTGGGCTAGTGTAGTTCACTCCTTATTTAACCATTTCAGATCAGGAAGACATGGTTCCCGAGCCCGTTCCGCAGGAGGACGACGAAGGGGATACCTAGAGACTCTGTAGTCATACTCATAGTTTTATTTTCGAGTTTCTCTCTTAGTTAGTTTAATCTTTTATATTTTAAGTACGTTTCTGGTTTTTCGTGTAAGGGATGTTAACTGAAATTTTGATCTCGCTTCCGCATTTGATATATTTAAATACTCATTTCATTTTAATATTTCCGGGGCCGTTACAGTTGGTATCAGAGCCGCATTTCCTCGGACCCATCCCTTACACTATAGTCCTTTAAAGAAATACTCACCGATTGGTCGTTACTCAACCATTCCTTGTAAATGCAGGTACACAGAAATGAGGAGAGGAAGGCCCCCACTAAACCGAGCGGCCCAAGATAATTCGCTTCGGGAGGATTTGGACAGATTATATGAGATGGTGGAAGCTCTCGTAGCTGCCCAGCGAAGGCAAGAGGAGAGAAGGGAGTTACCCGGACCTCCTCCGCTAGCGCAGGTTGAGCCCCCGTTACAGCAGGCTGATCCCGAGCCACCCCGGCAGGAGCCTGTTCCTCCACAGTACCACCCGGCACCACAGCCGCGGTACGACCCGGTACCACAGCCACAGTACCAACAGGTACCGCCACAGCATATTCCAGTGCCCCCACCCCATCAGCAGGCGCCACCACAGGGTCCCCCAGTTCACCCTCAGCCGGCCCCAGTCCCTTTACCTCGGGACCCCGCTCCCTCCTTGATCGACCCCGGCTTCATAGAGAGGTACAGGAGACTGAACCCTTCTACTTTTTCAGGGGGATCCTCTTTTGAAGAGGCCCAATACTGGCTGGCGGAGACTGAGAGAGCCTTTGAGACCTTGGGAGTAATTCCTGAGCAGAGGGCTGCCATTGCCTCCTACATGCTGGTAGGGGAAGCAGTACGCTGGTGGGAGCTCAAGCGGGCCACCCTGCCTGTACCAGTTACTTGGGAGCAGTTCCTAGCGGCTTTCCATGCGGAGTATCTCCCTAAGCACATCCAACATTTAAAGGAAATGGAATTTGCTCAGTTGGTCCAGGGTAATATGACAGTGTCGGAGTATGCCCGCAAGTTCCTGGAGCTGGGCCGACATGCCCCGGAGACATTGTTGGATGAGGGCCGAAAGGCCAGGAAATTCCAGTGGGGTCTCCGCCCGGCGATCAGACAGCACTTGTTGGTGATGGAGCTCGAGACATATTCGGCAGTCCTGGCAAAGGCGCAGATCATAGAAAGGAGCTTCGACACCCGCCCTCAGCTAGCGGGAAGTTCCCGACCTTCAGCCCCGCTCCGCAGGCCAGCGCCTACCATGCCTGTCCAACCCAGTAAGAGACCCAGGCCTGCCGTTCAGGGCCCTCCTCAGGCTATGGGGGCAGCTCGTGGGAAGACCTGCCAGTACTGCGGCAGGGATCATGGGGACCGACCCTGCTACCGCCTCAACAACACCTGTCGCATATGCGGCAGTGCCCAGCACTATGCGAGGGAGTGCCCTAGGAACCAGAATCAAGGGAGGCCTCCAATCCAGGGCAGAGTTTACAACCTTACCCAGAAGGATGCCGATGCAGACCCGGACGTGGTACATGGTATGTATACTATCTCTGCCCACATAGCTCATATTTTGTTTGATACTGGTGCATCACATTCTTTTATTTCACATGTTCTTGCTTCCAAAATTTGTGTATCACCTGATAGACTTGATTCACTATTGTTGGTATCTACCGCTGGGGGGGAGACATTACTAGGAGAGGTTGTCTACAGGGCATGTGCCGTGGAGATAGCAGATAAGAAATTGAGGGTAGACCTGATAGGGTTAGACACAGGGGATTTTGATGTAATCCTAGGAATGGATTGGCTGGCGGCGTATCACGCCACCATAGACTGCTTTAATAAAAAGATTGTATTTAATCCTCCCAACGAGGAGCCATTTACAAGTTAATAAAATTATTCGGTACTGATTTTCCCTAATGATAAATTCTTTTCTTCTTAATTCCCAGTGCGTTGATATTGTATTTTCCCCAACTAGGTAAACCCAAGAAGGAAGTTTGTATCCAAGAGATTCCAGTAGTCCGAGACTTTCTAGACGTATTTCCGGATGAACTGCCCGGTCTACCAGGGGACAGAGAGGTCGAGTTCACCATAGACTTACAGCCAGGAACCCAACCCATCTCGGTAGCTCCTTACCGAATGAGCCGCATCGAGATGGAAGAGCTAAGGAAACAAATCACTGAGCTACAAAACAGTGGCTTCATTAGACACAGCATTTCCCCATGGGGTGCCGGGGTTACTTTTGCAAAGAAAGGAGATGGAACGTTGAGACTGTGTATTGATTATAGAAGGATAAACAAGGTAACAATAAAAAACAAGTACCCTCTCCCCCGGATTGATGACCTTTTCGATCAGTTGCAGGGTGCACAGGTCTTTTCTAAAATAGATCTACGATCAGGTTACCATCAGGTGAAAGTGAGAGCTGAAGACATCCCCAAGACGGCATTCCGAACCAGGTACGGACACTATGAGTTCTTGGTTATGCCGTTTGGGCTAACCAACGCCTCGACCAT